TGTCCAAGTTCACTGTATCGAAGACATCAACCATGTATTCATTAACAATTCTTTTTTATACAGTCGACAATACTGTAATTGGATATTGTTTGTAGTTTACGCGACTAAGTAGGCATTATTTTTCATAAATGCATGTATACAATATGTCTGTTTGTTGGTAGTGCATATAACACTATTGTATTGCCTAGATCTTTAAACTAGACAAATCCAGAATAAGTGCCGAATTTTTAACCTTCAAAATGAATGTGGTTTAAAACCTAATGAACAATACGAATATAAGTTCTAAGATATTGCATTATTTAAACTCGATATTACTTTGAGGGATATTGAATTACTTTTTGTAATCAAAGCAATATAAATGTCCATTGTCACGAATGAATAGAACGTTAAACAAAACAAACATTTGAAAGACATAAAACAAAACAAAAGGAAAAACAATAAACTGTAATCTTACGTTGATTGTGCGCGCGTATCAAGTTGATGGCGAATAAAATCACATACTTTATGTATCTCAGACATTTGTATTCGTGTGTGGAAAGATGCTTTATTTAGACTGTAGCCACTCCGTTTAGTAAGCATATTATTTTTTTGTATTAATGCACGAAGTTGCATATAGACTATTTATATATTTACAAACGTATTCACCTTCACCATTTCTGTATACAAGCCTTTACCATTTATATTAATAATTGGATTAAATTACATAATGAGTCTCATTAAACTCCATGCCAGTACAACAGGGAAATGGACAGATAAAGGTTTGTATGGAATATTACTTAATCCACTAAAATTCTCTACATTATTTGAAAATAGCAACTTAATTAAGTCATACTTATATATCTTTTAAATTTAAAAAGTCATTACTTAAATTAAAAGCTTTTAAAAATTTAAACAACATACTTTTTACTTTTGTAAATACTATAATATATAGTATATTCAAAGTAAACATAATATTATAATTATTGGATCCTGTAGCCTTTTCTACGCTATTATCTACAGTTTCACATCTTCCACACGTCCCCTGATTTCGACGCATTTCGTCAATTTCGATTTTTCTTATTATACTAAGCTTCTTAGCTACGAATTCCCAACTGCTACGAGCACACAGCACTACGTGCCTCTACATTAGTTTGTAGCGAGTTGCTACGGGGAGGGCTACGCTCTCGATTCTTAAAGAGTTTCTACCTCTTTCGTATAACGTAATTGTATTGAGTGTTCAAAGTAAACATTACAAGTACATTATGAGTTTTAAAGTAACTTGGGAGTTTTAATCCGTCCTGCGTAACACAATACGGGGAAAATTACATCAAACTTTATCCATCATTTATAATCCAGTGGGGTGAACGGTAATGATACGATGCTCATATAAATCCTGACATCGATGAATATTGATGTACCGTTAGCATAAAAACACATCATCATTTTGACTTTAATGGAACAGGCGTCGGCTTATTACGTAGCTCGTAATATGATGACAAATGGATTGATCGTATTATTGAAAATATTTTCATAAGCTTACAGATATTTCAAGACATTGATAATCACAATAATATTACTGTAAAACTAAATTATTTGCAAATTAAGTTTCATATTTAGGTCAACTTAGAAAATCTCCTAAAATATACGGGGTGAGCTTGAAAGTAATTTTACATATATTTAGCACGGAATGTTTGAAAAAAAAGGGATATTCAAAATTAAATAATACATTAAAGAAATCATACTTAACCTTATTTTGAATTATAGTTGTATATATATGCATATATTATAGTTCAAAAGCATAACTCAGTAAATATGATCCCTTATATTTCTAACATATTTTGTTATTTCATCAATATTTATACGAAGGCACTGTTATACTATAATAGTACGTACGACTTACACAAAAAGAATCTTAGTTCACCGCCATAAGCGTTCGCTAATGTATCTAATTCGTTTGATGGAATTCCTATCCATCAATCTAGTCCATTACGCCCCGGGGTCTATTACTCCACTTGATTGTACGAATTGGTACTTCGGTGCGGGAGTAAATTATCAATATCTCGGTGAGAGGGAAAAATCTGCTGTCAGCAGACCACACGTGAGGGCAATAACTGAGATTGTGCCTCGTTTCTACTAACTAGCTCGATTTAACGACACGCTATTGAGTGAAAAAGACAAGAACATTTTTCAATCATTTAAAATTCCATTTTTTAAGTTAGGAGCACTAAGTTTGTTTTGATTTACTGATACAATTAACGTAACACAGTATTGTATAATGATTTATAAAATTTTAGTCTCTAATTTAAACTATGAATAATCACTTAATCATAGCATTTTATATGATACAGGAGTTTTTATTATTAATATTAATGTTTCCAAAAGTTTACAAACTTTTGAAAACATTAATATTTTTCACATGTTAATGTACATGAAGCACTATTATAATTTAAAAATCGAATTTTTTTTTTACGATTTTTAAAGTTTACAAACTCTTTAATAACTAGTGCTAGCAAAATAACAAATCAAACACTCACTAAAACTTTGATGAAGCACTTTCACAATTTCTAAATCTACTTCTATGATTTGAATATAAAACGTAGCCTCAATATATTCTCAAAAAATCATCTACTTTTTAATTTTTACCTTCATTTGAACCACTTGTAATTTGTAAACTAATAACACTCTCTACTCTTCTACATTGAAATTAAACAATTTCCTTATATTTTTCTTTATGCATATTTTAAAAAGATTTTTAAAAGGCTTACTTAATAAAATATATTTTTTTGTAGACTCAAAGACTCAAAGTTGTTAAAAAAATATATTAATTCCTACAAATTATTATTTTGCTTAAAATTAATCAATAGTCGAAGTATAAAAACATACGATAAGAAAGTATATATGATCTAGATTCAATTTAATCTATGTACTCAATAAATGAATACTAGAAGTATTACATCATTGAAGTGAGTCTTTCCGTCTTAAAACAAGGGAAATCCTAAAAAGATGTTATCCGGTGGCAACTTCCAAACAAGGCCAATTATCTCATAAAGCCCGGGTGCATCCATCAACGGATTACCGGGTAATACCTGTAATCAACCGCAACCGGTTAACGGGCCGGGTATAACAGACCCCCTTCATCCGGGATCCGGGCCGTCACCGCTAATGAGCGGTGTAATTATGAAAACGTCATGATAACCCGCTTGATAGAATCTCTAGAAATTTGGTTCTTTATTTTTTTTTATTTGCCATATTTTCCGTATTTGCCATGCCTTGCAAATTCGAGTCAAAATCGATATAGCCGTATCAAATATTAATTGTAATAAAATTTCTAACCACATTTTTTTATATTTATGTTAACATTCACGAATTAATACGTGCTTTTGAATAAAAAAAGCCTTTTTCGTGAGCCTTACACTCGCATACCGATCAATTCAATTTCTTAGTGTTTTCTGGCAATGAAATCAATTATAAACACGCAATAAAAAAGGGTTGATTCCTCAACATTGCCCCGCGTAACATAAAAATTAGCTACATGAAAATATTAATGTTAAAACTGGGTTAATTGGTAATTTCACTGTTTACAATGCACTTCACGGCACACAACATAAATCTTTAACAATGGCCTGTTTATTATAATGCTTTAGATTGTGTGATAATAAACTATTTATTTTTAATGCAATATTTTTCTTTTTTTTCATAAAATTATTAGTAAGAATATAATCCAAAGCGAAAAATACCTACACGTAGATAACAATGTACCTTTTGTGTTATGTTAAATTGATGATGGGTTTCTTTTACATCATATTTGGTATTGATGGTATTACTTTAAATGTAGTTTTTTTTAAGTGAATACACCAGGTACTAACGTTAAGCTAAAAATAAAAACGTCACGAGTTCGATTCCTATCCTAGATCTAAATTGCAAATTGGTGGTAGCAATAACGAAATTCCATCCAGGTTACAGGTGAAAAGGCCGTAAAGTGCAATTGCTTATCGGGTTTAGTCTATTGATTTTTGATTATGTTAAGTCAAAATAGGTCGACGGCGCATCATATTTAGATATTAAAGCAGTAGTATTTCATCTTTCATTAAATAAGCCCCAGGACAGACAAGCGTCTTTCCCTCTGTATAGAGCGATATTCGAATAATCTTCAAACACATTATTTGTCACTGGTAACATAATTTCGCAATGCTCCGTGTCGTTATACAAAATTCATGGTTCCGTGATAATTTAGAATTCAAATGCGCTGTGTTCGTGAAAGCACGTTGTAGAACACCTGTAACTTTTATTATAACAGCAATTCCCACTGAATTTAGATCCGCATTTATGTAAAATGAAATCTAATAATAAGATCTGCACGAATAGGTAAGAGAAGAAATATTAAAAATGTCTCCCTATTTAACATGTTATAAAATCACCTTTAGCAAAAAGACGAAAAACTATAAGTATGTTTTAGTACAGGTTATTATAGTATATATAAATATATATATAGCGCAAGAAGTGCACGTATCAATAAGTTGAAAAAATTCAACGATGTGGTGTAGTACTGGGTAGATCAACTGGTGGAGCAACAGCTCGGAACGCTGACGATGCCGGTTCAACTCCTGCCCGAGTCGAAAATTTAAAAAATTGTTATAGTATATACTTTTTGATAAATAGCAGGCCTTTTGTAACATGTAATAACAAATAGGTTATTCAGTCTTAAGTATTATTAACTTTTTCATTTGCAATATTAAAATCTAAAGAGAATATTAATTTTTAATCACGTTTATTCAAAAAAAATATACAGATGTGTAAAATAAACTAAGCTCTACATTATCTTACTAGATTTTCTAGGTCATTTGCCTTTCTTGCTACCAAAAGTACCTTGAATCTCGCTCAATAAATAACATAGTAAAAAGAAACATTACATATTGTAAAAATTTATTTTTTATTTTGACTATGTACTGAAATGTATGAAGGAGAAATACCTAATCAACCTATAACCCTACATCCATAACTTTTTGCACAATTACAATGAGCTACTTTCCAATACTAGGTTTCCAGGAGATATTATTCAATCCATGAAACTGTCTTTTTAAATTCTGCCCATCAGCCCATTTGGAGTTTAAGTAATTATCATCATCATCTTGCTCCAATTTCTTCCATTCCTCTTGTTTTCTATACGCTTTAAGCATAAGCTGCTTCCTCTCTTCTTCAGTCAGTACCGGTTCTCGGCCTGGCGCACCTTCAGCTGAGCTGCATAGCTTCACCGTAACTTTAGACTTGTCGTTTTTACCTAGAAGTAAAACGTTTAGTTGGGTTGTGACAGACACAATCCCTTTAATTGTTAAAAACTGTGGTTTTAATTTTTTTTATTGATTCCCTAATCAAAGGGAATCGGATAAAGTACTCAAGTTCCCATCTTTGGCAGTACACCAAATGTTCTCGCAATTGATGTACAAGAGATGGTTACCCTATCCTGAATTGTTGAAAAGTTAGGTGTTAGTACAAGTAATAAATCTACACCTAACTTTGACTTTTCTGTATGTCACAAGGTTTTTTTTACAATAAAATGGGGAGGTTAGAGGGAGCAGTATAATATTCCTAACAAACAACAGGAAAACCTTTAAAATTATGAAAACATCCATGAAAATAATTTGGTTAAGAAATACTAGCAATATTCTAGTTAGGGCAAAACAAGTGTAACAAACCAAAAAGATTCATTAATCATATCAGCTCGAAGAACATTTATCAAAATGAATCTCACCCAAATGATCGGAAAGTTTGTTTCCGTTAATGAGTTTCTTCCCACACGCCCAGAGACACGCTCTGGAGGGGTCGATGACCTCGTTAGCTGCTTGAGTCCCGGAGAGGTCTTCAACGTTGTCCAACTCCATCCTGACAGGGTCGTGGGGCGGAAGACCAGCTGGGAAGACGATTTTCGTAGCTCCACGAAGTTCGTCTAGAGCCCTTGACACATCCTTTTGGGTCATGCACTTTCTTAAGTCCACCTGGGTTTTTAAAGTTTATCTTCAATAAACCCTATTAACTAAACACAACAGTAATGTACATATTACATTTTTAGCTCTGAGTGTCTCATTTATATACATGATCTTTATTCGTTACTCACGTGCTTCTTGTCAATTATCTCCTTAGCTGTTTCAGCTGCCTTCTTCAGCACTTCTTGCATATTAGGTGGAGGAGCAAGGCCGCAACGACGGCCCATGTCATCTTTGGCTTCCACATAGCCTGGGGGAGCGCACCGTTTTGCCCAAGGATCATCGAGTTTAAGCTCTTTAATCTAGGAAAGATTGCACAAATTTGTTAAAAATGAAATAATAATAAATTTAATAGTCACTAGGTAGTCATACTTAAGAGATAAAATTAATATTTTTGAATTAAGCTTATAATATTTTTTGATGTTATTACTTGACCTCTGACTTAATATATCAAATACTTTGTTCTTACCTGCTCTTCCGTTAAGCCTTGCATTTCTGTAGGCAGGAACGTCCCATGTTTCCACAATTCTTCTAGTTCATAACAAATCCTGGTAACCTTCAACCTTCCATTAAATATAGCAACTACGTCTCTCACAACATCGTCTACTGAATTTTCCACACTTGTCTCGTACAAAAATTGATTTTCATCACCCCTTTTTACAAGAAGAATAACCATTTTAATCTAGATACACTTTTAATGCAGCGACAATTATTGACAAAACCAATTTTATTTTTTAGGGTTGCCATAGAGATAACCATGGCAACCGACAATACGGTTATCTTTGCACATCTGTTGTTTTCCACGTCTAATGTTTGCTTTTCTGTTGGCTTTCCAAGATTATATTGTCGCCTTCCATAAAAACAATATGTACAACTCTGGAAAATAATGTGTCTGACAGCAATTTATGCTTATTACAAATATTTGCTGCAAACTAGGTTGTGTTTTCAGCAGATGTCTACATACAAAAATACAAACAAAGACTGAGAGGCACGCAATTAAGTAAGAAATGTGCAGATGTTATCAAAAAATCGATTTTTTAACAATAATTAAAAAAGGTTATTGATTTTTTAAATTAAGAATTTGGACTTATAAACTTTGAAACAGTGGATCGAGTCTAAATAAATTTCAATTATACTACTGTAAACTTTCCTACTAAGTGTTATTGAAGCTACTTTTTAATAAAAGAGCAATACACAAACGGAATCTTTTAAAATTCGTCAAGTTTTGTAACATAGTATGTATCGTAGACACATAAATGATTAATTAATTATATTCTAATGAGCCTTGTTAGCTATTTCTGCTCTTTTAATGTACAGCCTTAATTAATATTCCACTCGCATTTTCAAAGCTTCAAATTAAAAATTGCAAACAGCTCAAAGAGAAACGGGGCTAGATATTAATATTAAATAACTCCGACGTCGTTTTAATGTACCCTTTTAACGGGAAAGGGCAAAAAATGACCGCAGAACGCACGTGAATTAGGAATATATTCAATTTCGTAATCAAATACACTTAAATATTGAAATCGCAAGTGTTACAAATACATTATTCGTTGTAGTAGGATAATTTCAACTTTCCACAAGATATGAGTAGACTTTCTAGTTTTCAGTACTATAAATAATCTCTCCTTACAATATCTAAATAATATCCCTTGTACTAATAATATTTAAATTAAACGGTTTAAAACGCGAAATATATTAGTTAACTTATAGTAGCCGTTGTTAAAATAAAGTAAACAAAATACGTCGCGGTTTAGACTATTAAAACTGTTTTATTTAAATTCAATAATAACAATATTTTTGAATTTAAATAAAATATGACGCATGAGAAAAAATACGTCATAAAATTAATATTAGGTACTTATTTATGCTTTGTGAAGAACGCCGATTAATTAAAATGGAATATTCATTGAAATAACTAAAAACATTACTTGGTCGTTATACATACGGTTTATTTCTGTGCGAATAACTCCAAATATTTAAAAAACCGTTTGGTCACTTAAACATTGAAAATCATTGGATTACGTTTAACTTCAGTATAAGTTATAAATTAATTGCGGTAGGATATTTACGTTCCCGTGAAATCCTGTTTTCCCCGCGGGGCATGGGGCGAACACATTTTTGTGTCTGTTTTGAGGATTTGATCAGACTTTTGGACCCTGCGCGATAGAAACAATCTATGATAGCTAACAATCGAGCGTAACGCAATGCTAGGATACACATTTCAACATTTGTCTGCAGAAGTAATCTTCGTTAGTAAACATTCTTAGTTTTCTCATAAGATAAGAGATTGAGTTATTTGAAAATTTTTATTATTTTGTACATGCACAGGAAGGCACTGTATTACAGTCCTGCCCGAGTCGAAATTTTTTTCAATTTATTTTCGATTTTTAATTCCCTGAATTCCCATTCGCCGGTCAAAAATCTCTCTATCAATTGTTATCGACAGGCAAACATTTAGCCGCAAATAGCCAGACGGGTCTAATGTACCCGCACTAATGTACCGCGCAGCTCACTGGCTCGGATAATGCTCTGTCCGCGGCCCTCCAGGTCACAACTCTCTTCGGAGATGCCGATAAATCGCTTTTAATATATACAACACCCTCTCCCAATAATATTCGCGAGCACCAAAAATAACCTTTTTGGAAATGAATTGTACCATTATTAATTTACCTTATTTGGGAATAACTTTACCTACGTTTCTGATGCTTTGCACCAGTCGTGGTCACGTGCCGAAGTTTCACTAAAACTCAGTTTTAAACCGTTAAAATGATTTTTTTTGATGTGTACTACTCGCGATTACTACAGACAGTATTTAATAAATTGATCGATGATAAAAAAATAATTGTTTCAGATACGAGGCCGCTGCTCCCATAGGCATGGTCATGACTTTTCTACGGAAGACCCCGAGTTAGCTGACACTCGCCACGATAATACAACTCATCATGGGAAGGTAAGTCGATTTCTTAATAACGATTAAAATTTATTTAGATTTAAAAGAGGACAACACGGGCGGGCCTTGAACCGGCAATCGTAGCGTTCCGTCTACTCAAACCAATTCAGCTACCATGTCTCGCCCATAATCATCGAATTCCTTCAACACATCTACATGCACCTCTCGCGTATGTTATTTTTAAATTTATGCATATAATTAATGCTTTCGTGTAGTCAAATATCGGTTACTATCTTCTGCGTTTATTGAAATATAATTATTGCTTTTTATTACGTTATAAAATCTCTAGTTGATTGTTAACATGGACACAAAAATATATTTCCCTCTTGCATATGGGCGAAACGGGATTTTATAAGTATTATTTACAATTATATCCTTAAAAACGCTCTCCAAATATACAGCGCACTTACAACATACTAACATCAAACCAAAACTTAATTTTTAAAAGCTTAGTCGGCCTTTAAACATACTGATTTAGACGCCTCAACGCTTGCGCAAAATTGCTACTTGAAATTTTCACTACTGAACTCTACCTTACCACGAAATTTCCTCAATATTAAATCACGTGGAAATTTTAATTTACAAGCTAAACGCATGTTAAAAGGTACCCTCGTACGCGTTGATCACTTATTCCATTCTGTTGAACTTAACAGACTTGATTAAGTGCTATTCGAAGCTGCTAAACAAATAAAAACAGTGGGAGGTTGATAAATTAAACTCGGTAGCGCTTGGGTGTCGAAATTTGCATATGTCACAGTAACTTGAGCTTGCAGGGGTGTGGTTTAAAGGGTAGGCTGAAGCGATTTTCCATTTTATCTTATACTTTTTCTCACCACAATTACCATCTTTATTATCTTTTCCAACCCGAGACTGCCTGGGTTTTAAAAGTCGAAGGTTCTTTTTCGTATAGGTTCCGGTTATCATTACAAAATTAATTATCACTACAGCACGCAAAATTATATTTAAACCTCCAAATTATACTCTCATGATATTTAATAAGGTGTCCTATGTGTCAGTGTCATTTTAAATTTCATAATATTATTTAAAAGAACGTTGTCTGTCGGATTACGTAAAAATCATTAAATTTTCAGTTTTGGATAATTTATTAGAAGTCATATAATATTTCAAAAAAATAAGTAAACATACAATAGGTATATTTAACACAATATTATAACCGTCTTTTTATCATGGTAATATAATAAAATATTCATATTGTGGTCTTTGTACTTATACGAAAATTTAATTTGTACAAACCCGTCACCACTTATGACAAGTACCGCAAACCTTTTCTGTGTACAGTGATTGTAAATTCAAACTAAGCGGCGGGCGGCCTATTTTTACCCCCACCTCTGCGCTTCGCGATAATGTACACAGTGTATTTATCTCCATTATTCTTCATTCCAATTCAGGCCGTGTTAATTAAGAGATAAGTAGGGATAAGTCAATTATTATTTCTCTACTAACTAGTACTTTGCTCACAATATCTTTGTCTTTTTCTTTTTATAGTCAATTTAAACTTTTAGAATTTTGATTTGCTGATACAATCAGCAGAATTGAAACAGCGTTAAATTCTAAATTAAGTTTCACATCAAATATTAAGCTACAAGGCACTAAAATTAGCAATTAAAATGGCAAATTCCAAGTGGACAGAAATAATAATCTCAATCAACTATTTAATCTGAGAGGGAATAATTATTTGAAAACTTTATTTTTTTTACATGTTATTGCACATGAAGGCACTATATAATTTAAAAATCGAAAATAAATTGAAAAAATTTTCGACTCGAGCAGGACTTGAACCGGCATCGTCAGCGTTCCGTGCTGTTGCTCTACCAATTGAGATATCGCGACAACCGTTTAATAATAATTAACAGATGTCGCATAAAAGATGCCCAGCAGTATGTTTCAGTTAAAACGGATTGCGACGAAGCTGCTGTTTAGATCACAGATTCAAAAACTAATATTTAAAAAATGAAAAGATGAGAAGGGAATATAACCGTAAATGTGAAAAATGCTCTGTGGCGTTTTATTACTGTGCATTTAAAATAATTAGTCATAAAGTCTGTTTGTTATATATGACAATTAATGAATAAGGCTGACGAGTCTCTGTGAGTAACATTGATATTTCAAACGACATTTTTCCACCGAGAAATACCCGTATCGTTAACTTAGGAGTGCGCTTTTATAAAAATAAAAACATCCAGCAATGAAACAATACAAACACATTTTAGCGTGGAGAACAAGAATTCTGTTTCGTTAAAGAATATGTGGGACAAAGTAATATGAGGAATGGCAAAGTTTTTCGTGAAACGAACTGAAAATCGTTTGAACACAGCGTTTTGTGCGAACCGATTCCACTTAGGGTGAGAATTTACGGGTTGAGGCCATTTTTGTTTTGCTCTTTCAAGTCGTGCCGCGTTTATGAGCAGCTCCCACAAAGCACACGCCTCGTTTATGCTCTAACTATTTATACTCCAAAAGAAACGGTTTTCTGCAAACTTTTTTCATTCAATTCGTAGATTTTTAAACTTTGGAACATTGATGAACGAACTAACGAATTCTTTTACGATATACACGTTTAATTATACGAGGGGTTCGTTGGTGTAATTGTAGCAATGTATAATAATCAACGGGCTGCGAGTTCGATCCACATCGGGTCCAACATGGTTCACACTTTTTCCGCAACAAGTTTGACTTCGTCTAAAAATCTGAATATTACATGATCCGTTTATCAAAATCCGGGTCACGAAACACCGTCCACAGACGAACAAGCCTTTTAATTTAATCGCGCGTCGATTTCACTCCGTGGATTTCGTAAATGCAATTATTAGGATTTGTTTTAACCTTTCTCACCCATAACTGTGAACGGTAAAGGAAAAAAGTTAAGGATAATGAAATGTATTGGTATGTAATAATGTAGTGTTGTACCCAGATGCTTATTATTCGAAAACCGTTACACGTTATAGCGTATGCAAATAGCATATTGTACGACACCAAAATGCACCTTAAACTACACTCGCACACAACCAAACGATTCATTACATGCTTGTTGTTCGCAGCTTTTGTTGGGACTAAAATTTTAGAATGAATGTGAAATTCCGAGCGCGGAGCGCGCAGATTTCAGCTGTGAAATTTTATTTTCACTCGTTTCACTATTTTTAAAGCTGCGTTATGATTTAACATCTTTCGAATTACCTAAGACAAGATATACTACAATGAAAAACATGAAGCTCGTTAGAGCTAAGATAGAAATTCTTGTCGTTAAAACTAGCTTGCATCGGTGTAACTCCGTGGGTCTAAGCTAAACATCTCTCTGTCTTAAGACATTTATAGGTTAAAAAAAAAACACAAAAAAATATTTGCAATTTACTCAAGTACTTGTAAGATAATAAATAATAAGACAATAACAATTATTCTGCATATCATTGTTTTTCGGGCTTTCGGCCGACGTGAGCGAGAAGAGGTTCTCGACGATTCGCCATCACGAGCGGACGGCATCATCAGGGGATGTTAACTCCTCGATTGCTGGAAGAATTTACTTACAATTTATTTAACAATAATTCTGTATAACAACGTCTTATAATACCTAAAAATACATAAATGTATGTACAATACGAAGATGTTACAAAATAAAAAAATAGCTATGAAGCAGATTCATCACTTAAATACTATTAAACCTGTTTGTCTAAAAAAACTATATGACACTATTTCTTCCAGAAATTCCTAAGGCAATTTTGTTACTTATCTATAAAATTTCAGTGTCATCTGCAGGATATATCTATACCTGTGAAAGAAAAAAATTTACAAAAAGAATTCAGGTTAAGTGTGAATGAAAGAGCTTACCTAGTTTTCTACTGCAAATTATAAACTCAACAACAAAATTACCCCATTCCGACTCGTAGTGAGAAAATTACTTTTCATTCTTTTAAATCGGAGGAAAATCGCTTGCAGTCTCATTTCGTAATTTTTAGCACCAAAACACGATAGAGTTCGACGCTCTCTGCTTTAAGAAGAAGTAATTGAATAGATTTTATTCTTCATTAAAAAGTTTAATGTTTGTTTATAATTTTTCAGGAAGTTTAAGTAAAATATGGTTTGTAAGAAAGTGGTGAAATACCTATCGGTATAAATAAAACAAGAACTGGAAGAGATTACATAGCGAGTTAGAGTTAGCAGAGAACGGCCTCGTCACCGTCTGACCGGTTTGGGTCCCACCCACACCATAAATTTCGTTTTAAATTTTACTTTTTCTTTTCCAATAACACATACAGTGCTAAAAAAAAGATTGAAACGTTTGAGTCCTACGTAGTCATCAGTAGTCAGGGCAAAATGTTTGGGAGTAGAAGGTGTCATTAACCCCGTGCCTCGGAGTGCATTTTAACTAACACCAGTTGTCACCATTCATTTTGAAAACGTAGTCATTAAAGACTATCAAACTGCAGTGGCGGATTTAATCTCTTACATAGTTAAATTATTTTATGTGTAAGAGGTGACTAAGTCCAGCAGTGGGACATTATTAGGTTGAAACTATATTGTTGACGCTTTGTGTAAATTGTGTTTACATTACTATGTCTATTACTTAAGGATTAATTATACTTCGACGATGTTTAAAGGAAGATTAGCGGATTCATTAGCTTTGATTTAATTGTTTAAGATAATTGATAATAAACTTGTATTAATTCCGCCTCTTAGCTTATAGGTTTCCAATTAACCCAAGATAATTATAGAAGATCGGTACAATTACGTTTATGCTATTGTACATCTTATATACGTACAATGTATACGAAAAGAAAGGTAAATCATAGGTAAAGGACTAGCTTAACGAGCTTGTACAAGGGTGTCGCGGGTTCTATTCCCACAGGGCCCATCCTGTCAAGCAATTGATCGTATCCACGGATTCGAACCGGGACTTATGTATGGTAACAAAATGGTAAATGGTCAATAAAAATGGAATTCCTACAATTCCTTTTTTGTCATAAAACTCAATGAATAACGCGAAACAGTTAACTTTCATGAACCAACAAAAGCTAAAGTAAAATTATGACTACGATTCACAGCACGAGACATATTCGAAAATAATAAACAAAATGAAAAGCGATATAATTGGCTGACATAACAAGTCACAACTCCCAGGATTTCATAGTGTTGTACATCGATACGTGCAGGTGCGATATTTACATCTATGATAGGCCTAATAATAAATAATCTAAATTTAATCGTAAATTACTTACGATATATTACTACAAAGGTCGTCGATACTAGTGGGATTTACGATAACTTACATTTAATATGTGAACTATTAAATTTCGTCATTGTCTACATTTTTATTAGTCTTTTGTTTTTGCACGTTTGTATTTTACAACCTACTTGTCGATTGATGTAACTACTTAAAAAGTAAACGTTAAACGCACTATAAAAATTCGGACTAACGTAATAAAAGAAATGCTTCTTTGACTGAACATAACATGAAAAACATTAAATTTATGAAAAACCTTTTTAGACTGGAAACACGCGCTTCTGTTATAATCAATATAGGTTACAATCATCATTTTTTCCATCTAAATAGATTTATATGAAATAAAATTAAAAAAAAAATAATAAATTAAAAAAAGTCTTTATATATCGCATTTACATTTTTGATATTATTAATTTTAATCGACAGTATGTTTTATCCCTATCTTTTCACAGGCTATAATAAAAGTATCGATAAATTTCGACATCACTAGAGGCGAGTTTGAAAGCTAATTTTTCTCGATTTCGCCCTTCTCCTTGTGTTTATGTAAATTGTATGATGCTCGTGTTCTACGGATTCCACGTATTTTTCTGAGAAAAATGGCTTACAAATTGCGTTTTATTTCTGTTTGTTCGGGTCTTTAATAACTCGTAACATTATTTTTAACCTCAAAGGTTAAAAATAATGTTACGGCAACAATACCGGAATATTAGGTACGCCCTTGTATATTTTTAGTTATAGATTTTATTATAGCTATAACGCACATATATATAAATACAAACTCAGACAAGAAACAGGCACTCATATTTATATTATTTAAAACTGACTTAAAAGAAATAACTATTTTTCATATTATTTTGTTTCTAACTGTATGTCGTTAGTGAAATGTGTCTAAGTTTTAATTTTCCGTGGTGATAATTTTTTTTATTACCCAATAATTCCCGACCTGAACAACTTTTTTTTTGTTCCCCTGAGATTCGAACCCAGGACCTCTCGTGCATAACGCAATGCTGGGCAATACGTTTTACCATTTGGCTATAGAGGCGGCCAACTCCGCATATGCTTAAGGCGAAAGATATTAGGTAGAATATTTCACGCCTGAAAAAAGCTAAACATAATGATACCTATTTATTGTCTGTAGTTTACGCAAGTAGTACACATTTAACGAGAACACTTAACGGCTTCACGAGTACCCGAAACGCCGGGCTGTAGTTAAAAAAGGGATCATATTCCCTAATCATTTTTGCGTTTTCAACAATCAAACGTGTTTTATTTATCAATTGCCCTTGCTAAGAGTCCCAGGAGTGGAGGGTTGTGAAAATCCAAGTGTGCACATTAATTCACATCAAATAACAGATACATTAAAACTAGCATATCAATATTGGAGTATATTTCCAATACTATGTGTGGAATGTGTAACACATTGCATAGTTATTAGGTAAACCACATGTGTTGGTATTACCACAGCTTTATTAATAATTTGCTTTTCAAAATTACGCAAATCCTTTGGTCGGCATTGTCATTGTAGTATTAAGTATACATATTATATTTGAAGTGCTTCGTAAAGCCTATTATTACGTTTAAAACGCGATATATTAGTTACTTTACTTATTTGAAAATGATTTTTAACTTCGGCTCGACGTTTCCGATGCTTTGCAGCAGCCGTGGTCACGGCCGTAAACCGTTAAAGTGTTTTATTTAAACAAAAGTGTTAACTAGTTTTAGCACGCGGTGTTATTCGCCATTAAGTATAAGAAGATAATATATGTAACATAAGAATATAATATATTTATGAAATAAATACATTTGACTTCTTCCTTTTACAGTTGGTTCTTTAGACTGGGCTTAGTCGATATATAATTAGAAACCTTTCCACATTTGTAAAGCGTATACAACGATACCATGCATTGGCAGTTCGTATCTATCGATTGAACTATGGGAATCATGTTCGAGCTGTACGAAGCGCATTGAACCAAAAAAAACATAGAACTCAGCTTAATAAAAATCGTAATAAAGAATGATGCTTTAAGGAAATTTTAAAATAAAAATAATCCTATTACAGCCTTCTTACCCCCTAGGCAAGTGTCTTAAACGGTGATAAATAAACTCCCCAGCCGCTTTCCATATTTCACCCGATATATTAGAAATCTTTACCAAATCGTAATTCGTCACGCCATTCCTGACTTTGTTCCTTCCGAGGTAAAGCCTTGAATCCTTTGTTGTTCTATAGAGATAATTGTTATTCTGGTCAGTTGTATGCAAAACGAAAGCGTGACGAAAATCTTACATTGTTGATAAGATAAATATCTAAACTGTGTATTTTCTTAAATTATTACGATCTAATGTGAAGTAATTATAATCTTATAAATTGGAGCTTTTATCTTGATTTTGTGTTTTAATTCTTAAATTAACAATATTTCAAAGGAAGAACTTTGTATTTCAAAGAAATTATGAAGACCTCCCCAATCCCAAATTCCTTCTTATTTTCACTTACAAGGGAATGACATATCGTTGTGATCATTTGTTAGGTTAATTTTCATAAACATTTTTTGGCAGGAAGATCAGGTCAAACTTTTATTTTAAATTTCCCGTAATTCAATTTTATGACAACTTAACGTTTTGTCGAAATTCAAACTTTGATTTTCTTGAGCTTATACTGTAGTTCACCACTGATCCATAGAGAAATACCTCCACGCGGCATGTGATCCAATTTCAAAATATTTCTTAAATAATTACATTTCACCTATAATAGTATTTTTACTAATGTTGTATGTGTCTAATCCTCTAACACCCGAAACCGTTTTGAACTAATCTATTAATTACTTAAAACAATGAAACCTTTCGAAGTTTCCCCGGGTGAATTCTTTTATAATAAACAACGGTATCTTTTGGAAGGCAGCCAACGCCTGAATAATGCTAGATTAGCCCAGATTTCTGGCTGTGTGGATAATATTATCTAGGTGAGCAACATACTAATTTGGTAGGCGTTCGTTTAGTAGTAATTAATGTCTTTTTTAAAAGTTATACAAAAAATTTAATAATTGTTGAGAATATTGATGATGACCGACGTGTACCACTGCGTATAAAACTATAACTAAGTATATAACCAACTAGGTATTACCTATATTAATAAGCAGAATCGAATATTAGTATTTAGTACAAAACTGACGTATTATTTGTGGCTTAATATGGATTTTTTTCGTAGGAGCGTGGCGGCTGGTCTCAATGGAGCGAATGGTCCCTCTGCTCTCGGACCTGTGACGGTGGAGTGTCCAGACAGCTCAGAACTTGCTCCTCACCAGTTGGCTGTAGAGGAGAACCAGTTCGATATAAGATATGTAACATGCAGGTAAGCACTTAAATTACATCAACGTAAAATCGCCACGAAAGAGTATATGTAATACACAATTATGATCAATCTTAGTTGATAACTATTTTTTTTGGAAATACATTTTAATGGAATTATGAATAAGAAAAATTGCTCAACACCAAGTTGCACCATAAATTACAACTTACAACTATTAGGAAAAACTAGAAAGTCAAAATGCACTGGATTTTGTGGGAATCGAACCAACGATATAGCATTCAGTGTTATAACATGAACATATAGCAAGTCCTTTAGAAGAGATTGTTGAAAAGATTAACCAATTATTTGTTCGTTAAAGTAAACCTTGAAGGAAAATGAGGCAAATTATATTTAATGAAACCAAATGACCTTAACTAATTTATTGAGGTGAAGAACAAATGAGGCGTTAAACGTAGTTTTCGCGTAAAACCTATGATTTATGACCTCGAATAACTTTACTATTTGTGAGGGCGTGAATTCCTAATTGTAATTCTACTCTAGATGGTGCTAACCGTACAAATCAATTTCAGTAAACGTTTTATAAGTCGATAAGAACTAATATTAGGTACACAATAATTATGTTCCTCTCTTTATATAACTTAAATTTTTAGGTATACTATTGGTAGTAGTGGACTTTAGTTCAATACAGTTTCTACTTTTTTTTGTTTTAACGTACTCTCTTTATCAAAGTTTAAAAGCAATGTTCTAGCGCTAGATGAACAATAAGTTGTACAAAGCATTGTTCAGATTCCATTTGCATAGAAAAATCTCTGAATAAAAAAGAATAGCTCGTTGAAGAAACAAAGCATGCGCCAATCAGATTTAAAAGCGTCAGCAGTCAATAAAGTGGGGGGCAAATACATTTCTTATTGTCATTCATTCGGCGTCGAAGCCTCCCATTTGCCCGCCACCCTCTAGAGCTCGGGCTACATGCGCTAATAGAACATCTGGCCGTACTTAAAATATTTTTTTCATTTTCTTGTGGACTGAAAAATTGTTTGAAACCGTTTGAGTGTTTAATTTCAACCCTTTACTTCTTATTAGGTTGTCAAAGAAAAGCTAGGTAGAGCTTTAGATAAGAATAATTTATATGTCACGAAAACAGTGTCTTGTTTTTCCTCAACAGCGAGATTAAATACTTTAAAGGTTGCTAACACACCCGATGAATGTGTTAATAAGTTTTGACGCCATGTAATCCGCGCTCGCAACATCCGCCGTCTCAGAGGAGAATTGACGCCGATTAAAGTCATAAGTAGCTTCGGACTGTACTCTTTGTGATGCACGGGCTTTACGCTGATTTTACGATTCAATAAGCCGTCCACTTGATTCGTATGTTCTGCTATTCCATTTTATTATACCGTCTAGACCACATATATCATTGCATTTAATAACAATGGACGGATTCACAATGAAATATAAGTATGTATTAAAAACCATATTGCATAAAATGGCCGATTTTGTGAGTAGTTTGACAAGGCATACAAACTACAGGATTGAAGATATTTTATTATCTTTTTGATATTTAGTAATCTATATTATCATGATGACCCAACCGATGGAACCGGGATGTAAGTCATAATAGACACCATTTTCTAACAAAAATACGCTTGATATCCACATTTTCTTCCCCTACACATGACTGTGTACGTATGAAATAAGATGTTTTATTGACAAACTTTCGTCCTAATAGAATTTCAAACGTTAGGACTACATAAAATAATTGAATTTGTTTTGAACAGGGCCAACTATATATAGTACTGTAGTATTAAGGTACGTCAAAGTTTGTAGGCAAATGGAGAAGTTATACGTCGCTTATTTAATAAATTGAATGGAACGAGGGACATGACTTTGGTATAATTAGAGTGCCTATTACCGGTCGAGTGCACTCAACAATCAAGTTAAAGTTAGGAGTTAGGTTTCATATGTGACGCACGGGTTTCCAAAGTATTGCCAGGTTGAAGATGTGTTCATATTATTCTTGAAAACCTGAATTTCTAGTTTCTGGAACACTGATATATTCATGCAAACTCCGTTTTGCAAATAAACTAGTTTAAGGTTGTAAACATTTATATAATATACTAGCAGAGCCGGCCACGCATTGCTTTGGCTGAAGTTATTGTTTATAGCAGTGCCATCTATTGAATTATAGCTTATATGACACATTTGTCGGCTTACCATAGCAGTGCTATCTATCGATTACTTACTCAATCCATAGTAACTGTCAATTATTGATAGACAAAAAATGGCGACTATAATTAAAGATCTAAACTATCCTATATCTCAAGTAGGACTAGACTGCTCACGGTGTGCCAATTTAATTTAAAATCGGTTCAGTAGTTTAAGAGTCCATAGCGGACAAACATCGTGACAGGAGATTTATATATATAAGATTACTTCATATGGATTCTAAACTTACCCAACGAATTTTCATATCAATATATTGTAGCAGCGCGGGGAAAATCCGTCTGAAACGACGTTATTTTCATTTGCAAAAAGCACGAACTCAATTCGGAGGCTTTGTTGGATCTCGTTAATCCCCGAGTGTAATTCAGGAGAGCCGAGTTTGTTCCGTAAGCCGAGTAAGTGTTACTGCTTTAATCTATTAACTAACCTAACATTAAGCTCTTTAGATGTTTCAATGGTCATGTATTATTCACGAGGTAGCAAGATATTGTTTACAAAAACTATAGTGCTCAATGAGCGCCATATTATTATTTTCTTGTAATTGCGTGGGTGCGTCTTAGAAGGGACGATTTATAACATATATTAAGAACGAGTGGAATTTATATTACTATGCATGCACTATGTATCATTATAGTACAATATTAGAGAGTCTACAAGCCTCCATCATAAAATTATTTTATTTATATTACAGCGGGCGTAGGTTTTAGGTTCAAATGAAGATATTCCAATTAATGTAGCTTTTCTACTATTCCATCAATCCTAAAACAAAATAAATATCGACTTTTAATATTCATTTAGATTCAAACTCAAATTTTCGTCGTTAACGTAAATGCGTCCGTAATTCAACTTCAAATTGACAAGATCGCCGTCTCCATGTCTGATACAGAATCATCAGACATAGAGACGGCCATCTTGTCGGCGTTTATTTTGACGTTAATATCACAATTGTCAATTGGCAATTACTATTTATATATTTTTTTAAGTTAATTTATTAAAATAAATTAACTTTAAAAATATATATAAATAGTATCATAACATTAAAGCGTTATTAGTAACGCTATAATCTTAATTTAATATTTAAACTTTCTCGTCACAGCCTTGCCGTGCGAATTCAACGCTTCTAGAAGAAGACATTTGGCGGGAACAGCAGTGCAGTGCCCACGACAATACCCCCTATGGCGGAGAGCTGTTTCATTGGCGAGCTCATAGAGATGACGCGGAACCCTGCGCGCTGACATGTAGGGGTACACCTCAGCATTCTGGATTAAAACCTGAACCGGTAAGTTCTTTTATTGATTAAAGAAAATGGTCAGTAAGAGAAGAATAATCTTATGATAACTGGATATGCCATAATTACTGGAAAAAAGCATTTTTAAGACAGGTTATCTCCTAATATAAGCATTGTCTAATGAACAGAAATCGCTTACTAGCAGTAGGGCATAATAATCTAGATGTTATGAATACATTAACTGTCCGTTCTCTTAATTTTAACAGTATTTTGATAGCTGTGGTCGTTCGTATACTTATATTTCGACACAAACTCAAGATCCCGTGAAACAACTTAGCAGCGAACGTGGATTTAGCTTTAATTATTTGAAAACACGGTAACACAATATCTCGCGGTAATTAGTCCAAACAACAAACACAGTTAAAATTATCAATTATTAACATTAATTAAATTCTATATAATACAGTACGATATTGTAAGGTAAATTCGCAGCGTATTTCATTCGAACAAGTAAATATTTGTATAGACGGCGATTCGTTAACGTACTTGTTTTGAATTTATGTAATTAGACGAGGCAGAATCAAGATTTCGTTTGCCAGTCCATTTTTATGTCTGTCTCAATCAAGGCACTTGTTTGTTTTTATAATTGTGCTAATCAGCCTCAGTTGAAAGTTTTCTGCTTCAAATTAAGACATAAACTTATTTAAAGTATTCAAATTCTATTTTAGATTTAAAATTCGTTTACACGGACGAGGTTCAAACCCACGACCGCGATATTTCGTGCACTTCCTTTACCCATTTGGTTCGAGTCTCGTTCGTGTCATCCAGATTCGTTGTTCGAATTAATCCATTTTAAATTTTTACAAAGCTATCATACGCAACACGTGAAAAAAATAAAGTAATTTGTTGAGTCATGATAAAAATGAGTTAAACTTTTTAACTTACCATAGAGTACCTGTAGTTTACGTATTGCTCTCATTATATTTTGTAAGTACTTGTTACGGTTACACAATAACTCCTACTGATAGCTTCAGATTTGCCATTTATTAAAATGTTTATCCACAATTGATTATGGAAAAAGACGTCCTAGAAAGAACTAAAAAATTATAAGCCTTTTTGTTTTTAGACAGTCACACTGGATGATGACGACCGCGTGGTGGTGGCGGTATTGGCTCCGAGGGTGTCTGATGGCACCAGATGTAGACCTGGCAGCTTAGATATGTGCATCGATGGGAGGTGTCAGGTATGTTGTGTCGTTTCTTTTATATCTTTTGCAGACATTATGTGTGTATATCACGATCATTAAAACAAAGTAGGTTTTGAGTTATATACTAGTTCACATGACAAAGAAATATCTGTATTTGGTATCTCGGCATAATTATACCCTGTACTGTTGATTTTATCTTCATTTAGTCCTGACTTTATTTCGTTTTTGTCGTGACTAAAACACTCTTAACAATAAAACACGTTTAAAGGTTTTAAATGCGAAATATATTAGTTAATTTATTTAAACAATACTTTGAAGTTTCGGATACTTCGTAGCAACTATGGTCAAAAATAAATTAACATGTGGCGTTGTAAACCGTTAATACTACTTTGTGTATCGTTTTAAATATAGGGAGTGCGTAAGATCGATACTCAATATAAAGAAATATTCGCTCCACGCAGAATCATTAAATCGTGTTCTAGCAGGCTAACGCAAGCATCCCCATTTCCCGAAATTGGTGCACGCCTTCCCACTAAAATTTCCCTTGTTTACGACAACGCACTGTTTACTAGCGGAGAAATAAACATGGGAACCCTCTCAATAACTTCCGATATGGCGCTTGAATATTTTATCAGCGCGTTATGTCTTCATATTATATTCGAAGTGTGGCGACATTTATTTGGGTATAAAGGGTCTAAAAAAATCGTCTACTTTTGTCACTATATTGTATTGCATAAGATTTGGGAGGTCTGCAATAACAAGCATAATTCTTTGTCACTCTAAAAAAATATTGACATTAAAATAAAAGTTTTCTGACTTTACATCAGGCCGAAAAGTAAAAATCCACTTTCAAAACAATTTTAATACGCTCGAACAAAAACAAAAGTCACGTAAAGATTCACCTTCTGATCTGGGTCCGATCAGTTTCTGAAAGTTGCGAGAGATTTAAGTTGTCGCGAGATATTTGCTCCTCCGTTGCGACGTCATTTGAATAGTTTTATGTTTTCGAGTTTCGTTTAAACAAAAGTAGAGGGATTGGCTTAAGTAGTGCATATCAAATAAATAAGTAAGTATTTTATAAAGATTCTCCGAACATTTGCTTGAGTTTCCCAGCTCGGTCGTCGTTGTCAACAACAATTTCTCAAGGAATAAATAACTGTTACGATCGATTTAAATAAACCTTCATAGCATATCATGAAATGATTTCTTCACAGGCTTTGCAACGATTTTAAAATTGACACAAGTTGTGCGATATGGAATATTTAAACGTGCTAAATAATACAATGTTTCATTATAAATTATTAAAAAATTACAATTCATATTTTGTAATTTATAACTTGTCTCGAGTTTCACGTGCACTTTTGAATAACAATTTTCTTTGTAGTTTTTATACTTCTTTAAATTTAGAAGTAAGAATAATAAAATAAACAATTTTTTATAACGGTTTATATAGAGAGTCAGCATAGATTATAAATCAGTGTTATCCAATAATTTTGAATACTATTCGCTGTATCATCGTTCTTTCATCGCGTCGAGTACCTTTCATAGTATTTCATAATATTTGAAAGAGTTTCATGAAAACACGAACCTAATGAATGACGAGCATTTGAAAGCAAATGCTGCTATCATATAGCTTAACCCCGATGTATAATTTGTATATTAAAAGTATTTAATTATTAAATTTAAACTATAAATAATCTTAAGTAATTAAAATGTCACATTTTTTTACAACTATAAGTGATTAGGATTTGATTACCGCCGGATCTTGTTAATTATAATTTTCTAAATATAAAATTTAGTAGTTATAATCTGTATGTAGATTATTGACTATTATAGGTATATTATAGGTGGTTACTTAAAATACATAGTCCAACTAGAGGACGAGGTCGACACCAATATATGCCATATGGCATAAGTACTGCATGTATCTCAAGTTAAACATAAAAACCGATTAACACATTTAAAATATAACTTAATAAGTTTCGGGTTTTCGAGTCGTTCAGCCGTCAAAATTCAGGTCTTTCTTGACGTTCGACCATGATGACTGGATGATATCATCACGAAAACCTTATTTTATTTTTGTTTAGAACAATACCGAATTGTTCGATATCCTTATAAACAGTCTGTATCAATTGAATTTCCAAAATCAGTAATGATTTCACACAATACAAACAAGTGGATCTGCTCTCTATAACAAAGTGGCAATTGTTTACAAATGGAAGCCACTGTTTCTGATATTAATTAATTGTTTTAAGACCGTCCACTTATATCTATTATTTCTTGGGAATAGCTTTGTCATGGCATTAATTTAAAACAAACAATCCCAAAGCACTTTAGTAGAATCACATTAAAATCCACATCCTAGCCCGCCCTACCCAATCGTAGGTAGGTACAGGCAAATTGTGCACCAGATTTCTGCGCCCTTCCCGACCAAAACAATTTGTTGTTTCCACGGAATTCGAACCCATGACCACTTCAGCTTAAAGCAGTGCTAAGCAAAGGGATTTACGGATTTGGCTGGGGAGGCGGTTAAATAAGTTACGGCACTTGAATAAAACTTAAATTTCGCCAAATAAATCTTCGTTCTAACAATATTCTAAGAAACGAAGTTGTTAGTTGGAATAAATTGTATTAAAATAGAATTATTAAGCTTGTGCTTGTAATTTTATCATGAATATTGTATTGTTAGAGTACGGTTCTGTGTCGAATGTTCTCGATCCGTTGAGTAATGGCCTATTCGTGTAGACTCGTCTTCTTAATGCTATTTTAGGGTATTAGTATTAATATTTACCACATTTATTATATTACCACGCCTGTAAAGCAGTCAAACGTTGTTGAAAATAACTCCGAATAGATTGTGTTTTAAACTATAAAAGGCATTTACTTAATACCACCGCATTCACACCAGACAATTTTGCAAATATTCATAAGAACTTACTTGTTATTACCGTGAAATAAAAACTGTATTTCTAGATTATTTACATTCATATCCAGTTGTAGAGAAAGCGACGAAAAAGTTTGCGAAAATTAAAAAATTCCCCGGTTAACCCGTTCTGGCAACGCGACGCGAACTTAAAATAATTTGCATGGCTGTACAGGGTGCTGGTTTAATTTCATTATGAAAAGAAAATTTCAACATTGTTTTATCTATTTCATTAATCTTCTCCGTGGAAAAGTAATAAGAGCGACCAAATACACCGGACACGGGATAGAGTCAAACCCACCGTATACCTACTATAAATCTATACTAATATTATAAAGAGGAAAGATTTGTATTTTTGTATGTAACGGATAAACTCAAAAAGTACTGGACCGATTTTAATAATTCTTTTTTCATTAGAAAGCTACATTATCACTTAGTAACATAGTAACATTTAGTACTTGATTTCCATAGACATCGTAGTCGTAAAATGTCTTTCTTCGCATACGCTGCGAAAAGTATTAATGATAGGACAAAAAAATGTTCGACAATATTTATTTATATAATATCTACAAAAAACATATCGAGAGCATGTGTCTAACTATTGTAGTTACGTCGCTATAACTATTTTTTTATATTTAACAAATTGATAGAAATGCCGATCAAAATCAGACCGTGTTATCCGTACCATTTATAAATGTATATCCGAATAAATAATTTAATATTCAAGACTGTCTCAATACCTGATTATTACTTTTTTAATTATTGAAATCGGACAGTCCATTCATAGATTTCACGAAGTTAAAATAAAAATGCATGCCGGCGGTGGCCGCCACGCCGCGCATTGAGTATCTAATTCGACGATAGAGGGGCAGCGGGCTCCTTACGCAGTGGGCGCGAACGACATTGAATATTTCGATTTTTTTTTTTAAAAGTTCTTTTCAAAGCTACTTAGTTTAGTATTAGGAATCACACTTTGCATAATATTTGTCAAAGTTCTTTTCAGAATTATCGCGTTGAACTTGAATATTTTCTTTTGTATTATTATTAGTTTATTCTCAATTTCTCTGATTTAAAATAAATATCCTTCATAGAAATATGCCTAGAAAAATCAGGTCACAGCTATCTAAGAATAGTTCCCAAGCGAGATTAGCAAAGTTTGTCGTATTGGAGAGTCTTCTTCCTAAAATGATCGTCTGGAAAGTATTAGAGTGTACGCGTCCCATTCGCGAGCCAGATAATCTATCTTCAAATATTCAGGTTTGTCTTACAGAACAAAATCCAAGATCGTCGCAGCGACTTGAAGGAAATAGAGCTAGGAATTCGCGAACGCGTACACGGGACACTAACACTGAACGCTCGCAGCGGCTCCTGAACCAGCGAGATAGACCACGGTCGTTAACAGAGAGGACGCGCAATACAATTTTTTCTAATTTAGTGATTCGCGGTCGTTTTAATTAGCACGCTTATAATTTAATTGTTGCCATTTTCGATTTATAATGTTATTGGTTTTATTATATTGTAATGTCATTTAAATTAAATGTGTGTACCAAATTTCACATCAATTTGACAACGGGAAGGTATTAAATTTGTATTTCTAATTTTTACCCAAATAAATAAATTCCGTACGGCAGGATCTAAATAAACCCTTAAAAAATAAGTTACTTTACTTTTATATTAGGTACTTATACACAAACATTGCTTGTTCCCCTTTTCAACTATTTTATAGCTTATTAGTACCGGCCACTAAAAACAGTGAATATCAAATGACTAACAGTTATAATCAATTCATACAGATAATGTTTTTGTTTCTATTTGCGATAGACAAGCACTAGATACAACAATGCGTCAAAACCGAGCGAACAAAAAATAAAATATTGTACAATACGAACGGCACTCAATGTAGGATTTTCATACAAATTTTTAAAATTCAAGAGCACTGCTTTATAAGCCCTGTCTCTCTCTGTACTCTGCTGAATTTGTGTAGGAAAAATATATTTTACTTCGTGCTTTTTTACAACCAACCTAGCAAGAAAGAACGCGACAATCACTTGCGGTACGTTATCTTAGTCTCGAATCTTTCCGCTGAAATTGTTATCTTTATGACTTAGTAGATTTGTTGGAATCTATAAATGTATTTTTTTTTTAATTTTTAATGTTGATTTTTCCTTTAAACAATTATGAAGAAACAAAAACTAATATAATATAATTAACATAATTAAGCCTATACACAGTTAAAAAAATATCATGTTTTTTATAAAATTGTTGCTCATATAGTTCTTACGTAGATTATCCTTTCAAGCGTTTACAGCGTTTCCTCAAACTGTTATTTCCTTATCATGCTCATTATATGATACATAAGAGGAAACTAGAAGCAGGCAGCGTACACAAAGTGAACTATAATTTTGTTACACAAAGTACAACAAATAAATGTTGCAGGCGCATATTTTAATTTTAGAAACGGGAGCAAACATAGTCAGACAAAGCGAGCGGGTACGTCTCTCTTGGCGTGTGGTTCATGTCACAAGATATAACATTTTTAAGTGACGTCATTCAGTTATTGCTATTCGAGGATAATCTAAATGTAGATGATGTATTTGTGGAACCTATTGAGTTTCTTTACAGCTCGTTAACATTTGACTGACCTAATTTATTTTAAAGTACAATGATTACTTGTTTGTTTAAATCAAGATCTTACCTCGTGCTAAATAGGCTATCTATTCATCAATTTATGCGCGGAATTTGAATAAAACCTAAAACTTATCCCTGTTTTCGCTACAATAACTCTTAAAAATACATTTCGAAGTCATTATAAAAGTGCCTTAATGCGAAACAAAACATTTAAATAATCCGAAATGTTTTGTTTCTTCAGCATAATGGGAGTTAACTATGCATTCCGTCCGCTACGTTCCGCATCTTGGACTGCACGAGCCTTATTATTTCGCGTTCTCATTCCCTGATGATGTCAGGTCGCATCCGGCATTGTCACAAGGTTTCAATTCCTATCTTTTTTTGTTCAGCCGCATAGACTGTCTGAAAAGGCTTTAGCAATCATTGTTGTTTCGAGTCCGACGTCTTGTTGTAATTGCCTTTGTGGAAACCGTTAAGGCTGCCTTTCATGGCTCACTCGATTCAGTTTTCATATGAATCGTATATTGGCTCTATCTGGATTTTAGATTTATTATCCAACATAGATAGATACGGGCTGACGAGTTCCAATTCCCACCGGGCCCAAAATGTTGCTAATTCATTTATAATTTTTCTGCAACTGAATATTAATTGCGTGGCAGGAATATAGAAATTCCGTCCGAGTGACGAACTGCCATCCACAAATGAGAGATCCCTAAAGTTTATTCTCGTTTCGGTCTCATTTTCAGTCTGCGGTTATCTGAATGTACACAGCCAGGGAATATCGACAATGCATCTTATTTAGATGTTATATAGTTGCGATATATCAACTTCCACCGAGTGATACGCATACTTGTCTGTTATAAAAAAGATAGATTATAACACTCTCTTGTAAATTACTAGCATTTTTCTGATCTGTGTGCTTAAGCGCCTTTTTACAAGTGTATTGAAAAATAAATTCTACTCACAGTATACTATACCGTTAATGGAGAGGCATATGAAAATTTAATTTAATTTTGCACAGTTCATTGATGGAAATCCTGCTTTTAGGATGCCGTCTGTGAAATTTAGATATAATAAATTAGTAATAGATTTGAAGCGCATGTTTGATAGACGTCGAATAACAGAAACTTCTACTAAACTAGACATTTCTCTCGAGTATACTGTTTTTTATCGTTACTTCTTACTTTCGTTACTTCCATGATCCTGGCCACGCTTGCCATACATCAGAGACAGGAAAACGTCAGCTTCTACCCCGCTAACAATCATTCACATTGTTAAGAAAAAAACTGGACTGGAAGTAATTTTTTTCGACGGCACACGCTACGGAAAGTCAAAGTGAGGTTTTGGAAGTACATTGCCGTTGTGATGGTGACCTTTTAAAAGTAAAAGTGTTTTGCGTTTTTGAAGGTCTTAAGGTCGTATCAGTCTGAGTAACAAGCCTTAATACTTAATTTTACCTGCATAAATTACATCTTTCTGTACAAAGATCAAAGTTGACGCAACGGACCCTAAATCAACTGTTTGATTAATAAAAAAAGTTGTAAAAGATTTACTGAACTCCGAAAGTATCGGACGTTCAGTGGAAAAAAGTTAAAAATGTATCATATTATTCCGAGAAGAGAAACTTCGAGCTTTCGGTGATATAAAAGTTACTGAAACGCTGTAAAAGTCCTTCCACCACAAAATAATTAAGTCACGTTTAGGTATCACCTTTTGAGGTTTTGAGTGGAAAGTCGGGGCGAGGTGATTGTATAATTCTTTAAGGACTACAGCTTTTTAACTTTAGCGATTGGAACGTGATCTTTTATAATATACCTTTCTGTACTTTCAAAATCAGGTCCTTTTAAGTGATACGTTGAGGAATTTTATTAAATAGATAGTAGTATATACTGGCTACTGACACCGTGATTTTTATAAATAGTAATAATTAACAAAAGAAACAATATGTTAAATGTTTTATATCTGTTCACCGTAACTATATTTATTTTTTACTACACTTAGCGCTATAATACTATAACTAATATAACATAAAGATTTTACTATTATATCTTTTTGATAATTATAAATTATCTGCTTATCAAACGAAACAGTGTAAATATTTTAAAGCAAGGGTATACCAAATACAAAGTTATGAAGCTAAAGGGGTTCGAATAATAAATCACTTCCTATAAAGTTATGAAGTTATACATACACTTAGTACTATTCTTAGTAACAAACCCAAACTGTAAACTTGATTTACGAACTTCCAAGGGTTCCTGTCAGATGCAAGGTTTTAGTTGTAAGGTCAAAATGATTTGCTTTAATAATATAACATGTAACCTATTATGTAAATGGACTGTTTAAATATCATAAGAATATTGTTTTTATATTCTGTTATTATGTCGTCTACTTGTATGTTGGAATTAATCACAGTTTTTCCTACTAAAGTCTCTAATAAAACGTGACAATGTTTCAATAAAACAGTTCTTAATGGTTTAAAACGCAAAATATAGTATTTGACTTATTTTTACTATTCAACTTTATTTTAAAAAAGTTTTTTCAACACCAAGTTTGGAATCGAACTAAAGTACGAGCCTTAGGCGAATTAATTATATTTTAAAGAACACAATATTTTCTTGTAGTTTGGTGCCTTTGTGATGTCGACGACAGCCTTAAAACCTTATTAATTTCGATAACAAAGATCACATTACCGAAATATAAGATAAGCAATATGAAGGCTTTGATCTCGAAAGCCTTCGGAACATTTTGATGACATTTACTATATTAGTTGCCAATTTCGGAGATTAGGTTTCTGACTATTTGACATTGTTCCACATTGAACGTTCAACCACGAAAATTCTAGTCATAGTTATGAGACGGAAATATTTTAGAAGGCTTTTCGGTAAAGTAAGTCGGTAATACGTTGAATTGTTACTACTACTTGCGTTGACTAAAGATCCAACACTTTTTTCGTAATAATTCGCGCAACCGTAGCTGTTGCGTAGCATAATCGTAGCAGACGTGCTACGGAGTTGTCTAGAGCGCTTATGTCTGTAACGCTACAGTAATTTAGATAAAAAAATATTATCAATCAACCTAGATATATGTTATTTTAATATTTTTTCTTTTCTATATACAAAGTAGTTGTCACGTTATTTAGCTTTTCATTATAACGTTGATAACATTTCGCTTCTATTATATTTTATGTCTTTTATAAAAAAACTTTATTATTCGTTTATAAAACATATTTTTGTCTCCAGCGCGTTGGTTGCGACCTACGAGTGGGCTCAACGAGGCGAGTGGATGAGTGTGGGGTTTGTGGTGGCGATGGGTCTTCCTGTTCTAGACCAAGGTACCATTGGCTCTCAACACCAGGGTCATTATGCTCTGCCACTTGTGGAGGAGGTTAGTATTCGTAATAAATTTTAGTTTGTTATAATTAAACATTCATTTTGAATAAAAATAATGTTAGTAATAATTATGTCAGTCGTGGCTTTGAGCCCCGCCCACATTATTGCTGATTTCCATAAGGGGTTAAGGATTAAATAATTTTACCTGATTTTATACGATTAAGTTAATTATATTAATTTTTCATCCTAATAGGAAACAGTTTCGCTTTATATTTTTATAAATTGTCACTATACTTAATTAACAACAATATATTAAATACACTGTTACTGACACGGGCTGACTTGAACCGGCACCCATAGTGTTCTGCGATGCTGCTCTAACCAATAGAGCTATTGTGTCGTGATCGATAGATAGCATGTCTTGCGCACTGTTATTTCCCCTTAACATTTACGTATTAAGATTGAATATCTTATGTTTTGTAGGTTGAGTAGTAAATTATGATAAATTTATTTAGTAATTGAATCACTAGGAATCACAAGCTACAACATCAATCAATTATTAAATATATTTATAAAATTCCAGTATGTGCATGTCAAAGAACATGTGAAAATAATGAAGTTTCCAAACACTATTAATATTATAAAATTATTATGATGCCAGTAACTATGCACTGAAATGTATTTAACATTCGTCTATAGGTAACAGCAATTAATTTAATTTTCGCTGTTAATCGGTATTATCATCGAATCGTTTATCGTGGCCAGTGCATTGGGGCATTAGCAATAATTTACTTGCTCCGTCCAGATTCGCTGGATATAATCTAGATAATCTCGACATAATGGACTATATAGTGTTTGACACTCAATGAAGCGTGGCTTCGGACACTGCGCTAAATGGGGCTACAATTCTGAGATGTACACCCATATGCGCGGCGGTCACACATTAATTTTCAATTCATTTGTCATTCACCGTTGGTCGTGGGTTCGATTTCCACTCTTCTTTAATTTCTTACCTGAATCATATCAAATAGGTAGAATTAAAATCGAAATTCTGTCATGATTAAAGCCATTGTCCACGGATAGATAGACCGGGAAGTGTATGTATGTGTACGTTTTGTACAGTCTTATAGATTTTTGTTTAAAAAAATACGTAAGAGTTTAATGTAGAATTTCAAAGAATTTAAAATACAATAACTCATTTACAACGTAATTAGATTATTTAAATGTAAATCGAGGAAAGCGTCGTTAATTATAAAGGCCGCTCGTTATACTAAGGAATCTCTATGACTGTTGATAAATCAGTTAGGAGAATTCCTATTGTTTCCGTTGCGCAACAGTTAAAATATATCTCATGGTTGGCGTAGGTACACTAGCGATTTTTATATGACAGGTAGTGTTTATGTTTATATGTGTAATCCACAATTTGAATGAAGATTTATGGCACGTAACTGGAACCATGACCACACCATACTGTGCTGTTTATATCAAGAGACTATGATCAACAATATTATTGTAATATCTATGCATGGTTATGCTTATAATTTGATATGTGTTACGAATATAAAAAAAAATCCAAATACAATTTAAATATGTCGAACTTAAATAATATATAAAATGCTACCCAGCTATCATCGTCTTCTGACAAAGTTGTGAGATCGCGAAAAAATACTTTAAATAGTACCAAATTGATTGAACAGGAGTGAGGCCAGATATTAAAAAACTTCGAATAAAAAATCGTCGCGAAGTCGTAAGTTTATACGCAGCTGTTTTTGGGCGAGACTCGCGTTTCTAATTAAGAAGAGCCGTGAAAGATGAATACGGCGATAAGAATTGGCTTCTGTGATGCGGTTTCGAGTAATTTCGCTGATGGACCACGATATTTGATTGAAACATTTCATCAAACGATGCCGCAAATATTTGAACAAACTTCATTTAATTGGATTGTACTTGTTGTTAAAGAAACATAAAGAATATTATTTTTAAAATGAAGAATGTGCTCGTTGATGTTGGAGGTGTGAAAACCTCGTTTGTGAGTTCCGTTCCGTGGGTAAAATTATACTGTAAGAGATTTAGTTAAATGCGGTACTATTTTTTAAAATTAATATTAGTCGAATAAAAATATCTGTAGTCTTCACGAGTATTACACATTACACGTTTTAAACGAGAAATGTACTACGAGCAGTTCATTTATTTATAACCACGGTCCAACATATCTTTCGTACTTAACTCACAACATGGAAATAAATACGTAAACGAAATGTAATTAGAATAAACAAGCAGAAGTGGAAGAGATGTTTGAGAAAAGTAGTAATAATAAAGTACAGAATATATTCTACTAATGAAAGTTTGCAATGTAAATAATTACTCATAGATAACTTTATTTACTTATTTGTATATACAAGACAATCATTTGCAAGGACTGTGAAGTTAAAATAAACAATTACGTTGCTCTATGAATAAGATTTAATTTCATAATTAACACAAAAAAAAATTGTAACTTAAAATAACAACAGTTATTTATTGCCTTTCTGTAATTAAGAAACGATTCAAAGTATATTTTGAAATCATCAAATTATTTTTATAAATATAAGTTACTTGGTGAGTCAGTGATTTCGTCAGCGTAGAATAGTTATTTTCGCACGCTTAGTATTACAGTGACCTAATAAAAAAAAAACACTTTTGGCAAATCGTATAAAACTGATGATGGCGTTATTATAGTAATGTCAGTGCATTTATCTAATTTTACTAAAATTTTTGAGTTAGGTCACTCTAATACTAAGCGTGCGTTTTGAGCATCCAAAATTGTTTTTGCAAACTGTCACCTACGTCATCGGACGCGTCCCATCGCTCACGACCCATCATTCGGTTCCCGTCATAGACATATACTGTCGCGGACATTTTGTTTGATAGTTTAAAGAAGAATCTCTCTCATACATATTTTTTGTGCATCTTGAACGCTTTTCGCAGCGTACGTTTCGGAAACCTACAAATATGAATAATTTTTCCCGTTTTTACCATATTTTCCACTGTTTCTTCGCTCCTAATTTTCTCCTAAATTAATCACAGCGCAATATAAAACATTGAGCCTTCCTTGATAATTGTTGTAACAAATAAAACATTTTTTTTTCAATTCGAATCATTAGTTTCTGACATTAGTGCGTTCTAACAAACAAACTCTTCAGCTTTATATATTGGTATAGATTATATTCATACTTACAATTAATTGTTCAACATTTGAATTGAAGCACTACCATGTACAATATCTTTACATAAGTACAATACAATTTTATTCATCATTTTCTACCAATTCTCGTATATAGTTGATCGACTTTTTACGCCTGCGCGACCAAAATGACTTATTATTATTTCCTAGGATCCTTCTAGGATTCGATGCTTGTCTGTGTAATCAATTATCTAAGAAGGCAGTTATGTTATATATAATATCTCTTACTGGCAGCTCTTAAATAATTGAGCGGCCGTTACGATCCGTCGCAAAGACACCGTTTGAAACCCTAAAGCGAAAATCGAGCCGTTTTAAATCCTACGTTCTGACCCTTTTCAATTGTTAATGAAGTGTCAGGCGAATGCCGGTGGGGGCATCTGGTGGCGAAGTGGGGAAACAACGGGGGTCAAGTGGTGACTTTCGTTTTCTGGCACTGATTAATGCTCGTAAGAAATTAATTTATGGTGTTTCGCCGAATGCTCTCGGATTAAGACTGCATAAATCAGATTTCGGCCTTCTGGATCTTAGCAAACACGGTTTAAAGCACTAAGCACAACATTTAAATTATGTGACTCCGTCGTTTCTCTTTCAGGAAAATGACGTTATTAAAAATATCATTATTCACATAAAATACCAAATAGCTATATCCAAAAATTTTAATAAATCGGTCAAGCAAAGAGCTTAAGAGATTAAGAGTTACAAACCTCCATATTTACATCCTCATAAATGTCACATGTGTAATTGTTATTATTGTTAAATGAGAAAAAACACATTTACTAAGCGAGCAACCGTTTCCAACGGTCCAGAGAGATTTTAAACAAGACGTGAATTCTTAAGTACATGTTTCATTATGAACACTTTTCTAAAGAAATTGTTTCTGTCTGTTAATCGTGCAACAACATAGATTAATAATATACTAGAAGTGTCTTAAGATGGTTTTACAAAACGAACTAAGTATATTTAGATATCGAGAATCGTTTTACAAAAACTGCTTACTACAATACTACGACTATTGTAATAAACTAAATGTGTCCACGACTCCGTTCGCATAATTGCAGCCTGATGTCTTATAAAGAGTTTTCGATTAAAGTCCAACTAATACAAAAATAACTTTTAAATTCGACCCATTCATTCCTAAGATTAGCGCGTTTAAACAAACAGACAATCTCTTGAACTTTGTATTAGGTAACAATTTAAAGGACCCGCGTTCCATATAATCCGAAATAAAATTTAAATTAATATAACCTCTCATGTGCAACATTATTACAATTCAAGCTTACCTTATTAAGAAGTCAAACTTTGATTTTTTAATTTATTTAATATAGCCTTTTAATTTATTAAAGCCTTTTCTAAAAAGCGTCTTTCTTTCTTTGTTGTGCTTAATCCCGTCTTAAGGCATTTCGGGGTACTTAAAGTATTTTTCAAATACTCGAGTCTTTTCCAGCGAAGCGAAGTCCGCGTTCAGTAATTTTGTATCTAAGTGCTTCCCCTAATAGCTGTTTAAACACTGCAGGTTTTCATTCTCCCCCGGTGCGCAACCTAACTATTTCTAGGTTATTTAACTCCGTTTTGTAAGGAGATTACTTTTTTAAACTTATTTAAAAACTAAATAACGCTCAACGTAATCGTGGATTAAGATGTTTTCTTGAAAATTAAGGGCATTTTAAAAGGTTTTTTTCAATAAGTGTTGTTATCATTTCAATCAATAAACTGGTAAACAAGTTTTCTCAACTATTGTACATGGTCTATACATATTAGTTAGGTAGATTTTTAAGCCATATATCAACTGTGTAATGATCTAAATATAACAGGATACAAGATGTCGCTTGCTGTATGCCGTGACAGACTGACAGGGTTGGATGCGCCTGAGCAGCTTTGCGACGGATCTAGCAAACCTTCCTCGTCTGTCGTCAGATGTAACACACATCCTTGTCCGTACAAGTAAGTATAAAATGAAAAGTTTTGTTTCTAACATAGCATTTGGGGAGTAAATTTCTGAAGCTTTCGTTAACTGAAAAGCAGACAAACTATTGTCAATTAGGCTTTTGGTCCCATTTTGCTAAGCTTCTTGCGCCTTTGACGTGCGTGTCAGTGACATCTGTGAAGATTCTATAATACACTATTCTCTATATATAATTCCATAATTTTACTAAATGTCAAGGGCATCAACATTTTGTAATATCCTATTCAATTTCAGAAAATATTAGGTAATTTATCGTAATCCTGAGAAAGACTGGATTATTTAGAGAATAAACATCCAGTTAGGTAGAACCTACAAATTACATTGTCTTCTCTGAAACTAAAATAAATATCGTTTATTACCATAATACGTTGCAACGTATGAGTACCTCAATGAAATAGACATTGAAATAATATTATCTAAACAAGTTATAACACCAATTACTAGTGTATTGAATCAATTAAATCCGTATATCTCTTTTCAGATGGTACGTTGGTGAGTGGTCGTCCTGCAGTGTCACTTGCGGTGGAGGAATTCGAACCCGCCGCGTGCTCTGCGCAAGATCAGCTAACGTAACTCGGACTGATACATATGATCCAGGTTTGTATAATTATAAAACTACATAAATAAATGTTATCTCGACTTAGAGACTTCTCGGCTGCCTCCTAAGAGATCCTGAATCCCTGGAAAACGTAATAAATATTTAAACATCTAAGCTTCGAATCCGAACACCCAACGTTTCGCAGTTAACTAATGTTTTATTTTGTGTTTTAAACTGTTAAACACTTTCTTTTAATGTGTATTATTCGCGTAAACTACAGCACAATACTTAACACATTGAGTAATGTTGATATGACAATAACAACTCTGTTATCTTTTCTTTTAGAATCAAGCTCAGAACCAGGATGTGTCTCCCCACCACCTCGTTCGACTCAAGACTGCAATGAACAAGAATGTCCCACTTGGATTGCTGGTCCCTGGTCTGGGGTAAGTTCAAAGTGTTTAAAACACAGTTATGTCCTTTGCGACCAAAGGTTGGGAAGAATATGATTAAATCGTATTAAAATATTCAGATAGTCATCCGACTTATGTGTTACAGTGACCGCCTGTACGTAGCTGAAATATTTAAAAAAATAAGACCTATTTTGTAGTTAATAATATAATAATTCAGTAAATCTATAACACTACCACACAGGCACACAGTTAAGAGTATACCAAATGTTTGCGAGTGTATCACTTCATTATTAGTTCGCTTAAAAAATACTTATAGAATTTAAGACTAACTAGTTAGTCTTTAGTCTTCTTTTCCCTTAGTCAAGAAACGCATTACATTTAAATTACGATAGCAAAACAGCTCGAAAACATAAGAAGCTTTTCAAAAACGCGAAAGCAAACCAATCTTCTAAAATACGTCTAACAGTGTTCAGTATCCTGCGGGGAAGGTGTCCAAGTACGCGGCGTGGAATGCTCGCCAGCCGGTGGTATGTGTGACCCATCATCCAGACCGGAGATCTCTAGATCTTGCTCAACTGGGATCAGCTGCCCGGCGTATAGAGAATCAGAAGACCCAGAGGTATATTTCTTGCCTAATAACACGGCATAAATTAATTCGAATTTAAGTACGTAAGTTAAATTACAGACAAGCATAGTATTTACTAGATGGAAGGTAAAATACCCCAGGTATAAAACATCTACACTAGATGCGCTGTCGGCCTATTTAGCTCTGGATATTCGGAAATGCACAGACTAAAACTGAAATACTTGACGGCTTTTACTGTGGACGGTGGTCTCTTCTGAATTTAGATATTTTTACTATTTACCAATATCCAGGTTTTACAGACAAAGTCAAATAGGTATGTTTGTCTTTGGTTTTAAAACCCTTTACCAAAACATTGTTTAAATACTGTCTGTAGATTAAGTAAGTATAAAGTTAAAACAAGAAACATATTCGTTATATATATCAAAAAATTTCGCATTTTAAACCGTTAAAGTGTTTATTTAAATACATTATTTGTTTTAAGGATGACATTGAAGATCTGCTTCCCGGGGTAATTTATCACACACAGCCCCTGATACAACCTTATCCTCCGCCGCAAGCCAAGGCAGAACAGCTGATCGGAGAAGCTGAAGGCCCCGTAGAAGCTACGTAAGTTCACATCTTGGGAATTTGCTATTGAGTTCTTATCCATTTGGTTTTAATATAAGAAACATTGCTTTGGAATTATTTAATTGATTTTTAAATAACCGAGCTTTTAAAACCAGGGAAAGAAATTACATATTTTTTTAAATTTTGACTTTGTAGTAGTATTGACAATCTACTCAAGATAGTGTTTAGACATTTTTGTCTATATAAAAAAAAATGATAAATATATAAATAAATGTCTAAATTTATTTTATTGACGGTAACATTAACGCCAGAATAGAAGCAAATTAATATACACAATTTTGTAAAATCAGCAAATTATTATTATACAATCCGATATTATTTTAAGTTCAATGGAAACCATTTTAATATTAAATTCAATTTATTAACGCGCAATTGAGTTTATAATTACTTACAAACATGAAGTTAACAAAGTGGTTCATATCATATTTTAATTAACCGAGGAAGCATAATATAGCAAAAACAGCGGGCGACGTTAAATATATTTTCGACATACTTTTTACCTTTTCACGTTCAGTCAAACGTAAAATTGTAGAATTTTCCCTATGTCACACTTCAGATTTTATTTCGTTAGAACCCTACTTATATGGTACAGTCACCTTAAAAAAAATGTGTCCTTAGGTAAAAACAATGCTATGACAGTAATTCAGATTAGTTAAAAACTTTTCTGAAGTTTACGGGAGTAGTACATATTTAAATAAGGCACTTTAAACGGTTTAAAGACGAAATATTTTACATAATTTTTTTTCGCGTAAACTACACACAACGTTTTAACCAAGAAACTTTGCGTTTTAAACCGTTAAAACAAGTTAAAACATGTTGAACTCCACATTAGATTATTTTTGTTATACATTAAAATGTGATTGATAGTTTTTATGAAATAGTAATTTCTTTTGGTTAAAAATTTTTTTGCACGTGATTGTAAACTATAAATATACGGTATGTAATTTGAAATATGATAAACATAATTATTTACTTTTCACATTTATTATTTTTGTATAATAATGTAAACAGAGTTCTAAGTTAGTAAAATACTCAATTAACTTATTAAGTTTTAAATTGGCTTAGTGATATTTGTTAAATACCTATAAACGATTCCCAATAACATTAAATGAAATATTAAAGTTTCAAAAGCATGTCTTTGTGATATCGTCTTTGTGTTCTACGATAGCTAAGAGTATTTTGTTATTGTTTTCAGCAATTTCAAAATATTCTTTGCGTGTGGCTGGTTGTATGTAAGGTATTGTACCTTCTACTCCAGTATTTCAACATTTCACTTTTCGATTCAGAACTACATCACATTTTTACAAGGAATGACATTACCCCTTCATTCTACACGAGTCCAATGGCTGTTAGACTTTCCTTTAAGCTTTTATACGTCATCGATCGATTTTAAATTCAACTCGAACAGAACTTAAATTTAAAATCGATTCTACTTGAACGTTGATATCGGTCGTTTACGTAACCTACAGTTCAAAATACTTAACACGGAAAACACAACCTAAAATCGTTTTATTTTCACTGTTATACTGGTCAGTTTAGCTTGTTAATCTTCGATTTTTACAAGAACCCTTCATTCTATCACGGACCATCGCCTTTTCTATACGATTTCCCCTTATTCTACTCTATGCACTGCACAATAAAGTTTATATTTCCTTGCACATATTACACCATCTATAAACTTTTATTTCTTTGTAGCTTCAGTACACTCTTACACACAGAGATACTAAACATTTGGCACTGATATCGGCTGAGTTTTCAGAGTTATCCACGAGTTTGGTTAGATTAGAGTATTCCGATTTGTCGGATTGTCCAGGATGTATAACGATACATACACACACCGGTGCACATACTTCTACATATGCCAGCCAAATCTGATTGGTAGATTTGTTAATGTTCTCTGCCCTTAACACCTTGCATGTTAATAAATGAATGATAATAGCTAAATACAGTATAGATGTTTTTATTAATATGGAAACATCGAGACAAAATCGTTTTGTCGACGATCTGGATTTTATCTCCATGTTTCGATTTCGATTTAAAAGAGTACCTTCGATTTTTTAAGAATTTTAGCGTAATAGGTTGATATTTTTTCTAAGTAATATATATTTTTAGCTACATCAAAGATGACGAATGGGGACCGTGTAGTGTGACATGTGGTGAAGGCTGGAGAAAGAAGGAAGTGCACTGCAAGATTTATCTAGAATTCAGCAGAACGATAGCAAAGCTACCGGACAGCAAGTGCATGGGTCCTAAACCTTCTGAGGAGACCCAAAGATGCGTCATGGAGCCGTGCTCCATGGCTTACGGGACTTCGTTCGGAGACTCTAGCGCACCATCGTACGGTGGTGATAGGTAATTACATTTGTAAAATTATTTCTGCATAATTACGTCATCTTTCACAGAGAAAAGAAGACAAGGTTTTTGCAAGATTTCAGCGAGCCAATAATGATTTCACTCTTATTTAAGAAAAATAATTAAAATCGACCCTTGAAAAATATATATTTTCACCACAAAACGAGCAATTAATATTAATGAATCTCTATTGTTTTCGCGTCGCTCAAAAGCCTGTCTAAGACACCGTTTTCCATCGCTTCTGTTGCTACATCATTGATTCTTGATCTGAATAAAATGTCACTTTTTTCGTATATTTTGAGATCAACATCGGAAATATGTCCTTTCTTTGGTTCTTGGTCAGTTTGGATGTTCGGTATGATTATCCTCATTTCTACCAAAGCAATCAAAAGGCCGTAAGCTTTATAATCTTCCATATTACTCCCTAATTCGTCTCTTGTATAAATACTACTGGCGTCTATATCAAATAATGATAAAAACGTTTTAATACTATCATAGTATACATCGAGCAGTTTATCCGTGTAATCAGATCTGAATTGAGAATCGGTGCAAATATACAAAAAGTAAACTATATCTGTTAATGGATTGGCATATCTCATTGCTTGAAAATCTAAGAAACATAATTTCTCCTCATTGTCCTGAAACAAGAGATAATATGTTTGATTATTTGCCTAATTAGTCATAATAAATAAAATGAATACCAACCATTTGTTTAAACAATATATTGTTGAGCCAAAAGTCACCATGACATAAAACGTTAGTTTTCTTTGGCTTTACATAATTTTTAAACATAGGTAATAATTTTGTTTTAATTGATTCCAATTTATCTTTGGCCATCGGATTGTTAATAACTTCTACGGATTCTTCAAATAAGTTTACAAAATGGTCCCTTAATTTGCTTTTATCTAAAAAACTCTGTTCAAATATCAAATCACTAAAACTGGAAACCACCTTATTATATAAATCTTTATCGTTCTCCGCAAAAACAAGTGATAATGCGTGAAGTTTCGCCAACTCCGAAAATATGAGACTGACTTGTGAAAATTCTAATTTATTATGTGTCGCTAAAGTGTCGTTTACTTTGAAACCATTCACTAGCAACTCTTTAAATATAAGGAGTTCATTTCCTTTCTCGTTGCTAAAATAAATATATTTAGGAAGAACTATCCTATTTTTTTCTTCTATATCCTTCTGTAATATTCTAAATTTGTTTATAATCTGTGTATAGGCATTAACTTCTCTTAGATGTAGTTCTCGAAACAAATCCTTTCTGGCTGTATTAATAAGTGTCTTCACTATCACACTAATCGTCTTATCGCTGCCGGTTTCTGTTAAAATAACTCTGAATATATTAGCAATATAGCCATTACCGTTCAAGTAATCAACATGGTAGCTAAAATCTGGTATATTCATTACTTTAGCGACATTTTCAATAGCACTGTGTAATTCGATACAATTAAATTCGTCCGGATCACTTATATTCACGTTTAACGACATTTTGTTAATGTTGCACTGTGTAACATATTACACACACTGAGATAAGATATGAGCTATAGCTCGTTCGATATCAGTAAATATTTATTTGATAAGAATGCATAAAAATAGCAGTACTAACATAATTATGACCAAATATTTCTTTTAAATAAAACACTTTAACGGTTTAAAATGCGATATATATATTTGAAACTTATTTAAACTATTAACTAATACATATCGCGTTTAAAACCGTAAATGTGTACTACTCGCGTGAACACAGACAGTATTCAACTTTTTCTTGTTATTTTCGTAGTAGGTCCTTAATCTTCGGCACGTCGAGTAACATCCGAGTAGCACCCGGATCACCTGGCAAGTCCTACTCGTGGAAGGAGAAGGGGTACACCAGTTGCAGTGCATCTTGCCTTAGTGGAGTTCAGGTATATGTTTAATTTGACTGATCAGTTAGAACCGATGTTTAAATATCTATCAGAAGCTGGAATACAAAAGGCGTTTAATTTATTATATTGAAAATGAGAAATAAGCCTGTTATTAAGGATAACTAGCGTCCATTCGAGTCATGTTTTTATTCTCAGATAACAAGTTATAACGAAATATAGTTCACTAGAATTTTATATAAGTTTCTATTAGAAACGCGCTTCAGATTTCATAATAAATGAGAGAATCGATAAGAGTGCTTCGTTGACATTGGTAAATAAATAATTCATAGGCGGATGCTTAAAATGTCACTCCTTAGGGTAAACTGAAATTGAATAAATTATTCGAGTAATGTTAGGGATAAGGAACTCGACTTAATAAAAATGGACTAAATATTTAGACTTCAAACGTGATTTAGGTAAGCGTATAAATATTTAATACCACGTATATCGTGCTTGTTAGCAGTGACAACCTATTGACATTTTTTTTACTTGATACTTCGAGCCGGATGCTACTTAATTTTCCTTCTATATTCATTGTTTTGCAGTTTATTCGAATAGTTTACATCGACTTATTTGACTTTATCAAATAAGCAAAGTCAGTAATTAAAACGTTGTGATTTAGGTATGGTTTAAATTTTGGACACTCAATCAATATTCTTCTTTAAAAGGAACTGATAATCCAATGTGTTCGTGATGAGGACGGCAAGAACGCATCTCCGTATATGTGTGACCCACTCACCAAACCTGAGAACAGAGTCAGGACTTGCAATGACCATCCGTGCCCACCCAGGTGACTAAACCCACACTTCTAACAATATTAATCGTCTACAAAAATTTTGGGTCGATGACTTCGTTGGTTGATTAAGCTACAGTAATCATTGTTTAGACCTATGTTAAGTTTGTTATAGTGAATGAATAATTAGTTCTCATTTCCAATACATTAAATATTCCTTTGTGCTTTATAGTGAAACTGAAATATCTTTTCCAAAGCATAAAGATACTCTTAAAAAATATAAAAATCCTCTACACGAGTAGTACTCGCTTCTCATAAAGAAATATCCTGTTATTATATCAGTGTTACAGCGCGGCGTATACTTTGTTTTTATTATGAGCGCTAAAAGCGAGTGAGGGTAAAAATACTTTAACACGTTCACGCCACATTAGGTTACTCTCAGCACGTGAAAATAGCGTTAAATAACACTCGCAAACACTGTGCTCATTTGTAACTAGGTTTTAAAATTGTGCTTAATATTTTATAATTACGGACACCTAAATATTATAAATTAGTAAATTCAGAGTAAGAGTCTTTTGTTTCACTTTTTTTTGTCTTAACTTAATGTATTTTTTTAGTAGTAGGTAAATGATTCAATGTTACTATGTACTTTTTTATTTAATAATACGTTAAGTCTGCCTTAAAATTAGACGAGATTTCTTACGAAAAATAACTAAGACAGATATTAGAATAAACCTCTATGTATTTTTCTTTCGTCACTTTGCATCTGAAATCTTCTTTTGATAAATTATTTTTAATGTTATGCAAGCACAACACTTTATATATATTTATTATAAAGTACCGTTTTTTCTAGAATATATGAAAATATAGGACTTTTCAAGCGGACTATCTAATTGAATCTCTAATTTTAAAATTATAAAATATATATATATATATATATTGAAATACTTATTACTTATTTTCCGTAGGTGGAACTACACAGAGTTTTCACAATGCACTAAGTCCTGTGGAATTGGGATACAGACAAGAGAAGTGACTTGCATTCACGAGGTAATTGGATTCTGAGAGAAATGCTCAATTAATTTAACCAATAGCACTTTCCCTCCAAAAGCCGTACAAAGTGCACAAATAATACAACGACATTAAAATGTACTTCTTCTTTCTAGGTGACACGCGGTGGCACAAACACGGTGGTGGTCCCAAACAGTATGTGTCCCCAGCCGCCGCCCCCGGATAGGCAATACTGCAACGTTTTGGACTGTCCCGTGAGATGGCACAGTGGGGACTGGTCCAAATGCTCCAAGACCTGTGGTGGAGGAGTCAAGCAACGAGAAGTAAGAACTGTAATATTTTATTAATAAAACTATACTAACAATGTTAATGTAAAAAAAATTTAAACCAAAAAGTTTTTTTTTTTCTGTGCTTTATTGTGTCACCATTTAAAAATACGATACAAATGAGACATTTTATTCCCTTGTGACTTTTCGATGTTTGCTCATACTCTTGTTATAATGTTAAGTTATAACAAAGCTTTCTCTTTTATATTCCTCCTTAATATGGCTCCGAGGCTAATTACTTAAGTCTGTGTTGTGTGTGGAGCTCAGAATAATCCAATTTACGCAACGGAAGACTCCAAGCTCCGTAGATAGTTTAATAAAGATCTTAACTTTACCTTCACTTTAGAAAGTTAGTTAACCGTTAAAAAGACTTCTTTAATACAAGTCGTATTTGTATGCAAGAAGTTTGTACTTAAAATTAATACACTTTAATTTGACAATTGACCTCCTCAAATAATATTAACCGTCATGACGTTCCCCAGGTGATATGTAAGCAAGTAATGGCCCAATCCCACGTCGTGGAGAGACCGCCCTCTCAATGCAACTCACCCCGACCTGCCTCGACGAAGCCGTGCAACAGTCGACCGTGTTTATTGGACACGTCAGCGCCAGAAATATCTTTGGCAAATTCCTCTTATATCCAACACGACCCTAAGAAGAAAAAAGTAAGCTTCAAGAATTACTATGTATAAGTATTTAAATAAAACACTTTTAATGGTTTAAAATGCGAATAAATTAGTTAACTTATTTTTATTTAACATCTATTAGAGAGAAACAATAAGGTATAAGGATATCAACCTAGAATACTAGCGTTGTTGTACTTAATTATAATATAATTATTTTGACATGTTATAACAATATGTAAGTCTGTGGTTATGATTAAAGATATATGTCCTTTTTATACAGGTCACGGTAAAAGTAGGTGGGTCAGCGACGATATTTTATGGGACTCAAGTGAAAATAAAATGCCCCGTCAAAGGATACAACAGAACAAAGATACAATGGGCGAAGGACAGTCAGATTATTTCCAAGTCGAAAAAGTATAAGATCTCTAAAAAGGTAAGCCCCAAATGTAAATCGGATATATGATACAATGGGCTAAGCTGGCTTTGTATGGTGTTTAATAACCCATGCACAAAGAAAAGCGTCAGGACGATTTAACGTCTTACGTGAATTGTTTGAGTTTTATCTGAACACAAATATTTTACCAGCGCTCTGCGAAGAGATCTCGTAGACAGTCATTACAAGTTTTACAATGTCTCTCAACTCGACGGGCCCTCCGTTTTTAATTCGGCGCAATTCACTTATTAAATTGTAAACTCGCTTCAGGATTCAAATTTATTCAACTCACACAATTAGTTTCTCTGTTTTTGCCAACTATTGCCTTAACGTAAACACCGGGACCCAGTTGTTCATCTCATAAATAAACAAAAGCATTCGACTGAGTAGACTACACTCCGCTAGGATGCTCCGAGGATTTATGTAATATTTCAAAATAATGCACGGTGAAAATATTTAACAAGTCGCCTTTTACCGCTATAAGAAACACTTACATTATTAAATATCGTAATGGGAGTTTTTATAATGGGGATGAGCGCGCAGGTGTCCCTAAGGGATCGCAATTAGGATAATAATTAGTTCATTATGTGAGTCGAATAGTAATTAACGTGAATATTATTTTCTTAATTAAACTCGGATCCTTAGTTTCAATGTGGTGCTAGCCTATTTTCTTATTATTGAAGGGTGCTCTTCGCATAACGTCGTTATCTCTTCGGGATCATGGTGTGTATACTTGCGTGGCGGGACGGTCGAGCGCGAATCTAACTTTGCTTGTTAAACCGAGACCTGGGGAGTTTCCATCCAGCGAAGAGATAGAGAGACATAAAGCGTTGGATGAACCTTCGTCACCCTTAGCTGACAGGTACGTATTTCTACTAAAGATGATTTTTATGTTCTCTAAATTCTAATTTAAATATATATTTAAATTAGAATTTAGTGGCCGAGATTATTTCGTAGACCAACGTTTACAAAATAATCTCGGCTGCAAGAAAACTAACTATCTAAATGCAGCAGCGAGTTTATTTGAAATACATCACAATTAAGGTGAAGATAAAATTTAGATTTTGCGAGAATATTCATAAAATAAGACGGTAGAAACGTTTTATCGCTATAAAGTGCTGCAAAAAAACTGTTAAGCTACAGCTTATTTTAAAGTTTATTTCTTCAATTCACGTCGCTGTTTTTTATTTTGTTAGATGCTCTGTGTTATTCTCTTGTTTCAAGTCGTTGGAAAATATCTTGGCTACCGTACTATTTTTCTTTTACTGAAGCTTCTTTGACTCGGTTTACATTAAAGGACATTTCTAAAACATTTGATTCCAATGAAATAAGTAGATTCAACAGCGTTGCAACTTTTAATATGAAACAAATAATTTAATAAAATCAGTCAATATCAACTGAAATTTTATTCGAACGGTTTGACGTATTCTATTTTAATATCACACTTTAAACGTGAAATCAGTCAGGCCACAGACTCAGTTGAGAGTCGGATTTTCAGCGCAATATGTACAGAATATTTGTTAAACTAACACTATCCAACTCGTACCCATAGCATACTACAATATATCCCAGATAACATGGTAAATAACTATAACATATAATTCTGCAAAGTAAGATATATATGGAATGTAGATACACGTGATAGTGATTTTTCTTAAAACTTAATGTTTTTACGAAATGTTCATACTATGTATTTCTTAATGCTTATTAGAGCCGACGGTCGTTATCGCGCTATGGTGGGTGGAAGATCCGATGATCAGTCTCACGAGCAGAGGCCAGGGGAACAAAAGAAAAATTATAAAAACAGGCAAAAAGGTAAACCTTTTATAATGTTGTAAGTGCAACAGAACCGAATAAAAATTTCATCACCGAAGCATTTGAATTGATATGAATGTATGTGTGTTGTGGAGAAAATAATTATGAACCAGGTGTCCGTCTCAATTATACAGGTAAAGTGGATAAAGTGCGCGATGCCCTCTACGGGAGTGTTACTTCAAGCACGAAAGCCTCGCCCAGTTACAACTCGCAGGCGAGGGATATCTATGACGAAAACGAGGTAATTACAGATGAAAATATACTTCCACTAGGTAGGTACTTTGTAGGGAGCCTAAGTGAAACAAATTTAGTATAAATGTTATAGGTATGTTATTTGGAATTTATAGCATACTTAATCTTTTTACTTCTTTCTTCTCTTTTACGCAGATTAAATTGATTTAAGTCGTACAAAAACCAAAATCACTACAAATACATAATGCTTACAAGTTTAACGTAAAAAATTTTTTTTAGGGAAATAGTAATATACTAAAAATGTATTTAGGTATTTTATACGGATTCTTTTCAAATTCAATTAACTTACAATCTTGGTAAAACATAAACTGTTTTATTGCATGAACTCCATAACTTCAATCTAAAAACAATGTGATTCAGTCCTAGATGTCTTCCAAGCACGAGATCATATAACAATAAATAATATGATCGCAACTATCTAAACTCAAATACATTCAATAACAATAATTTTACAATCCCCATAAAGTCCCCATCTGACATCTTAGACAACTTTTGCTTTACTATTTAGTAGTAGTAGTATTTAGTAATGAAGTATTTAAAAATGCAACTTCTAAGTCAAAGTATTCAAAGCTGCAAAAGTGGTTAAATGTATAATTTTTATTATTTTCTGTAATACTAGCACTGTACGGCGACTTGAGTCCTGGTTGTGTCGTGGACGTATTATTGTTCCATAAAATAAGCTCCCTGTTGAAACTATATGAAACTAAAGTGCATAAATAGATTGCGTTAATAGATATAATTGTTATAAATCTTTATGCTGCGAGCGCGTAGAGAAGAAAAATTGTGGATCCAGTTATAGTTTAATAAAGCAGCTTCCTAGTCCTGTGGGAAATTATCAATGTTCATAGTCTCCTAAGAAATAAAACTAAGGAATTAGAATTGATGACTCGGCACTGTACAAATAAAGTAATATCTCAGATTTCGGCGTTTAGACCGAGAAAATTTTTATTGTTATGTTGCAACCTAGGCAGATATGGGTTTTTATTTTCTCAAAATTCCCGAAGAAAAGTTGCACGTATTTAATTTTAATGATGCATAGTATAAAAAGTATTATTTTTCCTATCCTATTAGTATTATCTTCTTTCTTCATAACCCCAAGGAAATCTAAATTTATAAAATATTATAAAATCTCGAATATTAAAAAAAATGAATACTCCATGGAGCACAACAGTACGTATTCCGTACGCTCTTAACGCTAGCAATAACCATAAACAATTTCCACGCCGCTCGGATTAAGGAGAGTGCTATATCATCTCGGATGCTCCCGCCCAATCGAAATGGCGCCTCGCAACTCCTACCGTGCCTGCATTTCCTTGTAATGCAACTACAGGTGAGGAGTTACCAGAATAGAGCATGGCTCATGGGATTCTAGGTCTAACTGCAACGGAATGGGGCGCAGAATCGGGTCCATCGCATGCCACTGTATCATCTAGATAACATAGCTTAGTTACATCAGTAATATTGGTGTTAGTTATTGGGTATCTTATTAAAATAGTCGTAAAAAAATCGTGTCAGTTTCCTGGTATGTGCACTTTATTTACTTTCGTAAGGTCTAAGGTAAGGTGGTATATATCAAAATATTCATTTTGATACTTGCTCTCCGGTAGTGATAAAAATTATAAAGAGACCGACACGACCCAAATTAATATGCCCGAATACCGATGATAACAGAACATCACCGGTGTTAACTGATAGTGATTCTATTGAACAGCTATAATTGATATGTGCAGATGTTCTGGAACTTTCAGACAACTGGAAATTCGAGAGGACAAAGAATGGCTGATCCGGTGATAATGTATCAAAACTATGGAGCTCCAACGAGAACTCATGTCATCAACCTGGATAATAAGCAGATTGTGTTCCCCGAAGACGACGATTCCGATATCATTATAGTGAATGAAGATTATAATAGAAATACAATTGAAGACGGTCGCGAAGGCAATGATGTTGGTGATTTGGTAGAATCTACAACTGTTACTGAGATGTAAGTCACAACAGATTTCATAGACTTTTTGAATTAATAATTTAAATAATTAGTTAAGTATAATAACGTAACATATAAAATAACGGAGGCAACTCTTAACACATTATGGCAAATTAAAATGAATCGAATGACAAGAAAACGACGAAAATTGTATAATACTCGTTTGAAGGGTTCCCTCGTGGAAATTGGATGCGCCTTTGTACATATTTTCATGTTCATTTTATTCTATTTATCCAAAAATGAAGTAGTCACATTATACATTCATTATTAATAAGAGATCTACGCCGGTTGCCACTGGTAGAACTTTGGTGTATTACAAATCTATTTAGATGTAAAAACAATACGACAGCAAAATCAATATTTTGCTGTCGTTGCAACCGTGTGTGCAGGAAGGAACGCTGTCGATATTTCACCCGTGTCGTAAATATTTTTCTACCTGAATAGTATTTGTAATTTATTATTAATTCTCATATTATATCTTATATCTCTTAGATAGTTTTTTAAGTTAGAAAAATAAGATCAATATTTTAAATATTTATTTATTTCTTTAATATAATTATATATATGCACTGTCATAACAGATGGAATCCAATGCGACAAAGATCGTAAAAAACTAAACAATATATATATAATAGAACTGAAACCATACTATCTTTCGTAACTCAAAATAAACATTAATGTATTTGTGAGTTCATCCCTTCAATATAATTCTGTTTTTTTTTTTAAATATATACTATAAGGCAGACAGTACGTATTTCAGAATAATACCGAGTGACGCCAACGAGTACAGTTGGATGACGACCGAGTGGTCTCCGTGTAATGCCGCCTGTGGGACAACCGGGCATGAGGTCAGGGGAGCTGTTTGTCAGGTACGGAAATGCAGAAAGTCACATTTATTGAATGGTGTTTGCTTACTTCCAAAGGTTTTTAGGCCACGTTTCACTGTATTATTTTTTTTCTCTTATTTACGCCTGTATGAAACATACCATTTCTTTTCGATTCGAAATTAAATTATTACTATTTAAATCAGTGTCTATTGAAATTGCTCTTGCTGGAATTGTTTTTGTATAGCATTAATAGACATTCTTTCTTTTACGATAGAGAAGGACAGACGAGCATGGGGTTACCTTTATGGTAGGTGAATACCCCAGCCATATAACATCTACACGAGATGCGCTATCGACCTACTTGGGCCTATATTCGGAACATATATTGGCCTATATCCACAGATTGAAATCGAAACGCGATTAAACTGCGTGGTTTTTTAAAATATGTAGTAACATGTCCTATCAATAATAATAGTGTGTATGTCCCGCAGCATAAGCGAGGCAATGAAACGACAACAGTGGAAACAAAAGAATGCCTCACGAGGATCCCAACACAGCCCAGGGTGGTCCGAGAATGTGGCGGAGTGAAATGTGGTACTTGGAACATTTCTCCATGGTCAGCTGTGCGATGTTTGCCAAGTGGAGTCGGTAAGTGTATCATTCAACACTTACTAATATAAACTCCAAAAGACATGAAACTTTGCGATGAAAGCACTCCCTTTGTCTTAATTTTTAACTGGTTTGACGTAATTAGTGGGTACACTATTTATTTACCTACGTAACTAGGTATTACCATCACGTGAATAAATAATTGTTGACTTTGACCTACTCTTTGAAAAAGAAAACACTTATTTAATAATAACTTGGATATTTTCAGGTTTTAAGACTTTGAAAATGTTAAGTATATATATTTATTTTACTATGTAAACGTGGACCTTGTTATCTAAAAATTATCCTTCTGTGTTACGGATGAATACTCAATTTATACAGGACAATATTGTGCACATTACCTTTCAATGACGTATTCATTTAATTTGTCCAGCGATAATTCGTCGTCGCGTCGAATGCGTCGCTGAAAACGGCACTGTTTTACCGATCACGGCGTGTTCTTTCGTGGGTCGTCCTGAAAAGATTAAGCGGGAGAGGCAACGATGTCAACCGGTTTGGGTCGTCGGGCCTTGGAGTAAGGTAAACCCATAACCGTTTCTAGTAATAAACAGGGAAAGATCTTTCTTTATGTATCTATCTTTGCATTGCTATAGGTATAAGTTTGTATCGCGAATAAAATATTTTTTCACTAAAAATAGCAGACAATTCAAACAGTAAATAAATTTACTTCGAACAATGTAATACTTTGATTGAGGTAAATAGAACTAATTTAATAAATATTTTTGATGTTCCAAGAACCTCACTGCAATAACAGTTTTCTCATAACAGGAAGGTAACGCTAACAAACAAAAAAGGGGGGGGGGGGGGGGGGGGGTTTCCGCCCCGGGGGAAAAAAAAAAAAAAAAAAAAGGGGGGGGAAAAATTTTTTTTTTTTTTTGGGGGTTTAAAACCCCCCCCTTTTTTGGGGGGGGGGGGGGGGGCTATAAAAAAAAAAACTCCCTATTTAAAAAAAAACGTTTTAATTTTGAAAAAATTGGTTAGAGCATACATACACGGAATCGGACTTTTAGACTTTTAACTTTTTTAAATAGTGTTATATATTTATATAGTATTATATAATATTAAAGTTATCAAACTGCCTATTATACAACACCTACGACTTATCTTGTATGTGACAGTGTGTGGGGCAGTGCGGCCAGTCGGGCAGACAGCACCGCGTCCTCCGCTGCGTGTGGCGTTTCCCAGATAACCGGAGACGTATGAAGCGGGAGCGTCCGGCGGCCCTTTGTACTGGAATCAGGCCTGACGTCGCTAGAGACTGTCACGTGTCTTGTGACAAAGGTATTAAACCTTGTTAGATTAGGGCTTGTTAGACAGGAAAGACTATAGTCTAGAGTATATATTTTTATAGTCTTTCTTGTTAATGTTAAAACTTATAAGCATTTGCAAAGCTCTTCGATCAGAGCAGTAAATTAAAATACTTCTCACTCCCGACAGATGGCGTCTGCAAAGACACGTCGCGGTTCTGCGAAAACGTCCGCGCAATGAACATGTGCGCGGTGAGACGCTACAAGGAGCATTGCTGCAAGACCTGCGACGACTGAAAGACTCTTTTGTAAGTGGTGCGTTAACGCGAGCTCATTCTTGTATTCGATATAAGTTTTAACGTGTTTTACAGGACGAAAGATGGTATAGCACTAGAAAGAATTATTGAGCATTAATGCTGGGGTCTTTTTTCTTTAATTTGTGAGGGAATTTAACCTCGTTAAGCGTCAAAAATTGAACGATGACTAGGCGAACATAAACGGAAAATTTCTGTAGTATCTTTAAAAGCTACGAATATTTTTGTTATGAATATTAAAGCGCTAAACTTCATAATTGTATTTAAATTTATAGCAGACATTATATAAAGAATTAGAATTATTTATATAAAAAAAGCTATACCATCTTTGGTTACAAAATATGCCCACCTAATTTACATTTACTAATGCAGTATTGACGGCCAGTGTGTAGTATTCGAAGATATCATAACCATATGTATTTTGTGATAATAAGATCTTTATTATTTGAACTGAAATATATATACTTTTTAATTATTGGGTGTACTGTCGATATTGTGAGCGAGAACTTAGCCCTTTAGATGTGTGTTGAAGGAATTATGCGGACGCTTTAAAACTTCTTATTGACTTTATTAAGTATATATGAAAATATATGCGTGAAGATGTTTCAAAGATATAGTACGGAGAATCACCTAACACGGTCCCGACGAAGCTTTGTTGGGTTTTTTGAAACGTCTTCACGGACTACCATGTAAATTGTTCCAAATATAGTTCGAATAATTAAAATTAAGTAGAAAACAAAATATTTAGGAAAAAATGTTTTGTACTATATAAACTTAGTATGTAAATATAAGCACCTATGCTACGCTTAGTATTACCGGTAATATAAATTGCACAAAAGTATATTTATGCAATAAATGTATAGAAAATTTAGAAAATTTGCCAAATCGCAAGCGACGTGTTTGAGAAGCACAGTCGAGCGGAGTTTTAAATTATTGTCAATTTAGCGAAGTTGGACAAACGAGTGGGAAGTATACTAGAATGTGTTGAACGAAGGAAACTTTCAGATTTAGACTATTTTAGATACATTGTGGTGTTCGGTTCAATGCAAGTAACATTTACTTTTGTTGAAAGAATATTGGATTTTATATTTATAAATTTATTGCTTAACTTGTGTAAAGTTTTTTAAATAACAACATATTCTGTCTTTGTCACACAAATATTATTTACGTTCTCGAATAAAGAAAACACAGTGTTATAGGAACACCGCAATAGTTCTAAATTATTTTAGGCAATACAAAGTGTATATTATAAAAGAATACCTAACGAATGAATAAAGCAATATTGTCGCTTATTATCTATGTAAATAAAAGTTTATCGACCGCCCGTTCTTGGAATGGGTTAGTTTTCATTTCTGTCCATTTAGCTAGTAAATTCATTATTATATTATCATAATTGTCCGAAACTTTATTTATTGACATTTTTGCCACGCCCTTCGCCTTTTCTTCCTTTTAGATCTCTAAATATTCAGAAAGTCTATATATGGGATCACGATATCTCTGAATTTTATTATTTTACAAAACTCAAAATGTTTATTTAAAGACTGAAAATTATTTAAACTTTATAAAGTTCACTCTATCAATTTCCTAAAAATAATTACTTAAGTTTTATGTACTTTAGCGTACTTGAAAGTGTCATCACTTCCAAGTTTGCCTCGATTAAAACATCTTTCAAACTTCTTGATAACTGCCAAAATATAAACACTTGTCGTTGAATGTATCTCTATTGCTTTATGTGTGGAAAACGTGTGCTATTCAATTGTGGGCCTTTAAATATTAAATATTCGAGTCAATTTTATTTCTCTGTTCATATTAATTTGACTGATTCAATTAATCGGCGTACTAATTAACATAATAGTTTAAATCATTATGAAACGTATTAATTAGCTAATTTTTAATGAAAGACCCATAAACGTCGTTTCAGCTAAAAATATACATAAGTACTCATAATTGAATACAGACACGGTGTATTTATCTTAAAATCATTAATTTAGTTTAAGGCCAGAACTGTAAATTGTACCAAGAATTTCAAATACGAAAATATATTAATAAGTTACGAGCACTGTGTTTTCTTTCCATTCTTATAAGATATAAGATTAAGAAAATCAACGAGGAATATTAATTCCTTCCATCAAATTATTCCTAAAGAAAATAACATAGCGACATACTATTTGTAACCTTCCATAAATCTTCCTTATTAAATAGATGTTTCACCCAATATCGAATCTACGCCCTTAAAGTTTAGTAAGTAATTAATATATTGATATGCGTAGATCGAGCGTTTCAATTTGCAACAGAAACATAGAATGTATTTCAATTAGGAGAGAGCTTAACGATTCTAGTATCGCCAGTTTTTTTTAATTAAGTGAGATTTAAATTGGAACCGGAGCTCGCAGGCAAATGCATCCAGTTTACGTACGCCGAAGCCCTTACAGATAGATCGGGATGCTGAAAAGCTGGTGTATGGTCCAAGTTAGCAGAGGTGAGTTTTACTGAATATCATTTTTAAAAAGTGAACATCAATAATGAAAATGTCCGATTTTCCGAATTACCAGCATTTTACTTATTTTTATTTTAATATTCAGCTTATTGACAATTTTAAACATGATAAACAGCATATATTAAAACGTAAGCTAGTTTTGTTTAAAAAGAGTAACGAAAAACAAAATTCTTTAGAAAAAAATTTTTATCTGTAATCACCTATTTCTTACAAGACTTAATACATATATCAAGTCCTATTAAGTCCTTATCATAATGACAACTTATTTATTTATTTTATTCATTTAATCTTTCGTCCCACTTGATTCTACTTGACTCAGCGACAGTAAGACTGCGAGGAACAGAAAAAGAAACTTTGAATACCTGATAATCTTACTTCTATCTGGCCCTATATTAAATGAGAAACTCTCTAAAAGCCAATAATGATAGAAATTACAAGTAACACGCTTTATCTTCTACCTTGAAACATCAGCAGCTGAACTGCTTGTTTTAGAATACAAACGTACCTTTGTCTGCAGTGGACTCTGTAACGAGATCTGTGCTGTTATCTCAAACAGACAGCGCAAGCGCTTACACACGACGTATTAACATTGTTTTGTTCAATAAGAGGGTATTAAGAAGAAATCCCTTTAACATTCCTAATTTAGAGAGAGGAGTAAAACTACACTAAGTATAACTTTTTTTAGTCTCTTTATATGCAAAATGTACTCGTAATGTTTATTTCACATACTTTTTATATAGTGTAGGTATAGTACTGTATTTTACTTGACCTTCTTTCGTATTTTTTTAAATTGAACCTTATCCCGATTGATATATATTTTGTAGCGTAAAGTCATTTTAGTAACATTAAAAACAATATTGGATTCGGAAATAAAGTTCTACGCGTGAAAGGGACAAAAACATTACGTCTCTTTTATTGTAAAAATAAAGCTAGTTTTACATGAGTTAACCTAACGTAAAGTCATATGTATTTGACAATTTTTGTAATAAATAGACAGAAAGACTTATGTTACTATGTCCAAAAAAAAAAATCACTTACAATAATCCTATAGTTTTGTTTCGTAGGTGTAGTCCAGTCTTTAGACTTGTTGAAACCTGTGCGTCTACGCCATTTTTTTTCAGTCAGGCGCCAGGTGTCTCTTATTTCGAGTTTTGAATTACGTTTTAAAACCTAAAAGCGATTTAGTGAGTGTTTCGTTAATTGAAAAAACAAATGGCGTCCTAAGATGAAGATGAATCACACATGATTTAAATCTTCATTGTTGTCGCGCATAAACAGGTCAGTAAAGCAATCATAACTTAGAAGGTAAAGTTTTCTTTTTCCGTTCCTTTTAAATGTAATTGCATAACAGAAAAAACGTAATACTCGACGGATCAACTCTAAATGATTATATGGCCCGACTGTTATATCAGTACCCTACAAGAAACACGTTTCCACTCATTAAAGTTAAGTAGTTAATTATACTAACTTAACTGTTATATCGAAATGATTCGCCCTAAAATTAATTTCATAAAACGTAAGCCCCAAGGAGTAGAGAGCATTGTAAACAGTGCGGCCAAAGTTCTCTTGAAACTAATTAAATTGACTAGTCCAGCTCTGAGGACGGAATTACCATACTAACGCAATTTACTACGGGTTATATAATAAACTGTGTTTACCTGCTTTTTACTCGTGACCACGTAGACATCGTATTTGTTTGCAGTGATTAGGCAACCAGTCTTATTAGGAAATGCAAGTTTTATGCCTGGATTTCCTTCTAGAAAACCAAATATTTTCGGTCTGGCAAAGCTTAGAACTCTGTGCATCTACATATTTGCATAGTGGACAATCAAAAAATTAAGAAAACAACCTGCTTACCATCATAAAGGTTTTACGAAAGATATAATTTACGAGTACCTTTCAAAGTAACGATTATATAAATAGGAACATTCTATTATCAAAGGCCGCCGAAGATTACCCCCATCTCCTAAATCCAGATTGAGTATTATCTAAATGAAATCTGAATTCCACATCACATCCAGTTTCCTGCATTCGCTGGTTCACGTCGTCGTGTTATTGTAGCGAATATTTCACGAAATATCTTCCTTCGCAACCGTAAATAGAGCTTGGAACTTGCGTATATTTTAAAATGTAGCTAAAATATTTTAAAGTAAAATAACATTTATGTGCTACATAATTACGTCAACATTCAGAAAGAGAACCAAGACTAAAAGTGAGTACATATTACTTGATGTAATGATAGAGTTAATTTTATATATTTATTCCTATGATAGGGGACAGACAAATATGGGACTCACTTCATGGATGGTGTCCAAGAAGTGTCCGTGATACTATATGTCTATCTTTGAAGATTAACTTGCAAGAACGACGGGTCCCGAACGAAGAGTCGAGAGCGACGCGATGTCAATGTCGGATAGCAGTTTAAATGTACAAAGATGAAGTGGAGGTTCGCAAAAAAAAAATGGATTAGTATTATATAAAAGAAC